TGGACTGTGAAGTGGTATAGGGTTTAGGGATTTGGGTATAGTTCACAGACCTGAATTGGGACTACAGCAACAGGGGGACTGAGGATCCTTGTTCATCGGGGTCATATGAGCGACCGTCCCTAAACCCTAAACCCTATAAACCCTATAAACCCTAAACCCCAAACCCTACACTTGGGTCACGCAACAGGTGGCGTCTCTCCTCGGACCCGGTGTTCCCCGTCGCTTTTCAGGGTGTTGGCTACGGGAGAGAGAGGGGCGGCGCTTTTCGGGTGTTCCCCGTCGCTTTACAGGGGTTTTCGGACCTTCGGCTGAAAATGTCCTCCCAACGTTGAGTCGCCCTTACTAGGGTGTTGACCCCTTGCTCATACTTGCATCATGAGACCTACACTTAGGGTTTTAAAGGGTTTAGGGTTTAGGGTTGATGAAGTCTATGTCATCGCGTCCTAGGTTCTGGACTGAGGCTTCTTGGGATTTAGGCGCCCTGCATGTTTTGGGAACTTTTCGCATCATGTGTTACGACCCGCAACCAGAAGATGTACCCCCAAGCAAGGAGCCACAAGCGCACGGGTCCCAACGCCAAACCCAAAACCCTTCACCCCCCGTAAACCCTGAACTCTTATAAACCCCCTAAACCTCCTAAAACCGAAATCCTATAAACCCTAAAGCCCCTCCTTCATGCACGCTAAATTCTAGAAACCCCTGAATCCTATAAACCCCAAACCCTATGAACCCTTCCCTTAGAAGCCCTGAAGCCGACAAAGCAAAGCATTCCCAGAACCTGCACGGCGATTCGTGGAGCTTTTTTGCGCGCTGCTTCTCCATGACTCCTCTTCGCTGGGTTTTCGGGGGTTGAGGGTTTGAGCTTCTTCCCCAAACCCTAAACCCTAAACCCTAAACCCTAAAACCTAAACCCTGAACCCTAAACCCTAAACCTTCCACCCTAGACCCTAAAGGTTTAGGGCTGGCTGAAGGGTTGATAGCGCCTAAGGGGTTCGGATTGAGGGTCAAGGGTGCCCCGGGGTTTTTAGGATTTGGGTTTGAGGGATGTTTGGGGTGTGAGGGGGGGATTCCAGCTTCTGGCTTCAAAACCCCCAAGCTCTCACTGGAGCTGCGCTGCTTCCTGCTGCAGATCAAGAGTAAATGAACTCGGCATGACTTGGAAGTTCAGGGGTACTTCTATGCAGGGTAACTATGGCTAGAAGTAGGGAAACTGGGGTTACAACCTAAGCTAGGGTACTTATAACACTACTTGTAAGTACCCATGAACCTTCAAGTAGGTTCTTTCCGTTCTTGAGCTACATATGGTCACTTATCAAATTCTGGTCCCTTTTGGCGGTGCCCTAACAATTCGGGGCCGCCTTATCTTAGCAACCCAACAGAGGGACCCTTTTCAGAGAATGTTTAAGGGTACTGTGGGTGTTTTGGCTTCCAACCTTCAGGGGGTCGGGGCTAGGAGGTAGGGGGTAGGGCGTGTTCTGTGGCTCAGGGATTTTCTACCGGCTTTTGTTTGGATTTGTTGGGGCTTAGGTTTTTTAGCCGCCGGGCTTTTTAGAGATCGAGTTTTGAGGATCAAGCGGGATGAGGGTCGTCCGCCAACCTTGGTGATTAGGGATATTGCGGTTCGGGGTATCCCCAAACCCTAAGTCCTTAAGAAAGACGGGGTGGCCTTTTTCTTTTCTTTCACGCATGGTGGCAGCCATGTCTTACCCCTCCACATCGCCAGAAGACGCCTAAACCAAATAACCGATATGCCCCCAATATAACTCTAGAAAGCTTCAAAAACTTATGAACTTTATACAACCCCTGTAATCTCTATAAACCTACAAACCTCATAAACCACAAAACAAACAACCCTGCTCTCCAACTCCTAAACCATCTCGCGTGCGAATATTGGGAAAACTGGCCGGGGCTGCACGGTGTTGAACATGCCATGGCCTGCCCGAGCAGGCCCATGACGAAATGCACGACCATGGGACGTTGTCCAAAGTATCATGTTCTCTTGCATAGTGCTGATACTAAATGTTACGGAGCCTTGTAGAGTGACATGGGCTGCGAAGCCCGCTGAGGGTTCGTGTAGCCCACAAGGTGTAGCAAGAAGCAGCTTGCAAGAGCTGCGCATCCTCCCTTCGCAGTAGAGACAGGCTTAGGGCTTAGGGCTTAGGGCTTAGGGCTTAGGGCTTAGGGCTTAGGGTGTAGGGTGTAGGGTTTAGGGCTTAGGGTTTAGGGTTTAGGGTTTAGGGAGTTTAGGGTTGAGTCTCAGGTATACCACAGTGTGTACAGCACCGCTCAAAGCATCTGCCCTACGGGCACTTGAGGCAAACACTCAAGATCTGCTCCAGCGCCGGCCGGACAAGGGGGGCTCAAGAGCCAAGGTAGTCTGTACCCCTAAACCCTAAACCCTAAACCCTAAACCCTAAACCCTAAACCCTAAACCCCAAACCCTAAACCCTAAACCCTTTACATGGGGTGCTTCCATCTGCTTCTGACATAAACACTTCCACAAGATGTACTGTCTTGGGTTTGGAGTTCAAAGCATTGCTATCGGGCCCTTTTACCCTAACCCCGAAACCCGTAAACCCCCAAACCCCTAAACCCCCAAACCCCTAAACCCCCAACCCCCTAAACCCCTAAACCCCTAAACCCCTAAAACCCTTAAACCCCTAAACCCCCAAACCCCTAAAACCCTAGACCCCTAGACCCCTAAACCCCTAAACCCCTAAACCCTAAACCCCCAAACCCCCAACCCCCAAACCCCTAAACCCTAATCCCCTAATCCCCTAATCCCCTAAACCCTAGACCCCTAAACCCTAAAACCCGAAACCCTAAAACCCTAAACCCTAAACCCTAAACCCCTAACCCTAAACCCTAAACCCTAAAACCTAAACCCTAAAACCTATGCCCTAAACCCTAAACCCTAAACCCTTTACATGGGGTGCCTCCATCTGCCTCTGACATAAACACTTCCATAAGGTGTACAGTCTTGGGTTTGGAGTTCAAAGTTTGCAATTGAGCCCTTTTACCCTAACCCGTAACCCCTAAACCCCTAAAGCCCCAAACCCCTAAACCCCCAAACCCCTAAACCCCTGAACCCCTAAACCCTAAACCCCTAAACCCTAATCCCCTAATCCCCTAAACCCTAAACCCCAAACCCTAAACCCTAAAACCCTAAACCCTAAACTCTAAACCCTAAAACCCTAAACCCCTAAACCCTAAAACCTAAACCCTAAAACCCTAAACCCCTAAACCCCTAAACCCTAAACCCTAAAACCCTAAAACCCTAAAACCCTAAACCCCTAAAACCCTAAACCCACAGGGGCTCCACGTGTGGGAACTGGCAGCCTTGAGGCTTCGCCTGGGCGCCGCTACACGGACAGGAGCCCCCCCCAATAAATCCAGATGTCCGGCACCTGAGGGTTTAGGGTTTGGGGTTTGGGGTTTAGGGTTTAGGGTTTAGGGTTTAGGGTTAAAAGTTTAGGGTTTAGGGTTAAAAGTTTAGGGTTTAGGGTTTTGGGTTTAGGCACCCTGAACCTAAACCCCCTCGACCACCGGGATCTGCAAACCAATTGGGAGGGTCGCGAGCGGACTCGCCTTCCCGAGCCGCTGGCAACGAAATCGCCTAAGCAAGATCTTCACTCGGCTGACGTGACCGGAGTCTGAGGAAGAGACAAGATGAGCAGTTCTCTAGATTAGGGCCCCCTTTTTGGGATCCCCTTTTTACAGGGTGCCGCCGTAACATGGGTACCCCAAAAAAGGGACCTTCCCCTATAGTGTCGAAGCCCCCAACACTACACTCCTAAGGCCCCTTGTAGCTCCATGGCATACACAGTATCATTGTAGCTCCATGGCATACACATTATCAGCAAAAAATCGCCCTCCTTGCTGTTGATGAGACCAAAAAAGGCAAACTCTAAACAGGAACATGAAGATTCAATTCTATGGAAAAATGGAGGTTGTACAGGGATTTGGCTCCACTTCAACTTTGCAAAAACCGCGAGAACCCCCCACTTAAACCCTAAAATCCTTACACCAAGGTTTCTGAGATCGCCAAGTTGGCCACCCTCAACCCTCAACTACCCTTCAACACTGAATCTGGCCCCATCTTTTCGTGGGGCTAGGGTTTGGGGGCTCGGGTTGTAGGGTTTATGGGGCTTATAGGGTCTTGATGGTGTCTGGATTTGCTTCCTCTCTCCTCAGGACACGCCAATCAAGCAACGCCACTGTGTAGGACCGAGGGGTCTGAAAATTGCTGGCATCCTCCTGCAGGGGTGCTGGAGGCGTAGGATTTGGGCAGCTCGCAAAATGATGGCCTCTTTGCAGGTACTCTTAAGATAAGTCTGAGATGGAGGATTTCGCGCAGTTCGCAAAATTAGAGTCTTTTTTTAAGTACTGTTAAGATAAGTCTCTGTATTAACAAAGGCAGACAATTCCGAGAAACCCCCATTCATTTTGCAATGTTAGAGGGCAGATGATCGGTTTCACCCCCTGAGTTGTAGGAAGATGCCTGAAGCTATATTCCCAAATCATAGCAGACCCTAAACTTTACAGCCCCCCCCCCCCCCCCCCCCAACGTGTAGAATGTATCTTGACTGGTGTCAAGTGTCCAGACCCCCAACCCACGACCCTGAAAAGCAAGAATGGAAAACGAAGCCCTTTCTTGTTGCACAAGCGTCCTACCGGGCGTGCCAGAACCTCCTGTGACCTCTCCCGCCCTAACGGAACACTTATGCCTGCAACAAAAACCAGGACGCGAACGTTCGAAACCGATAAGCCAAAACTACACACAACAGACTCACCGCTGTAGGGCCAAAGCCGAAGCAACCCTAAACCAACACCCAACAAAACTCAAAAAAACAACGAGTCACCTCCTCCCGAAACCATAAACCGTTAACCCTAAACTTACGAACCCTAAACCCGAAACCCGAAACCCTAAACACCGTAAACCCTAACTACGACAAACCAGGGCCTCTCCTCGGAGGACTCCGCGGGAGAGGTAAACTTCTTCACTCCTTCGCTGGCTTCGCTGGCTTCGCTGGGGGGGAAACGGCCAAGGAATTCCACACGGCGCATGGCCGTGAACAGTTTTCTGCATCTCTCTCTCTCTCTCTCTCTCTCTTGTTGATCTTTTTTTCTTGCTATTTTTTTTTTGGGGGGGGGTTAGGGTTTAGGGTTGAGGGTCTAGGGTTTAGGTTTAGAGTTTAGGGAACTGGGTCTCTTGACTATAAACGTACGATTATAGCAAGAGAGAGGGCGCAGCGGTCATGTCCCCAAGTTCACAGGAAGCATTGCTAACCCAAATTTCCCAGCTTTTCATTAAATGTTCAGGGGTTCAGGGCTTCGTGGGGCTTGAGGTTACGGCTTAGGAACAGGATGTATATGGGAGCCTAATCCCAATATTCAATCCCTCCACCACCCCGTGCAACTCCAATGTCGAATGTTTTAATGTTACTCCAATATACTAGATTTTGATTTACTCCGGGAAGGGAAAATATCTCTAAGCTACGCGGACACCCTGAATATACACTCACCAACATAGAGAACCGCATGGCAGTCGTTCAACATACCTGTACCGTAGAACCCTAAATAATGTCCCAAGAAAGACCTTTGGATCAACCCCCCCCCCCCCCCCATATGTGGGTCCCAAACCCTAAACCCTGAATCCTAAACTCTAAACGCTACCCTTAAAGCAGGCCTTATCTCGCGCAGGCTGCACACCTGAGGCTTGCAGCAAATCAACAGCTAAAGCAGAGGAGGGGCTGAGGCGGACTGAAAGAGGGGATCCAAAAAACCACAAACCACGCAGTTTAGGGTTTCGGGCTTAGGGTTGAGGGAGAGTTCCACAAACATGGTTTACCGGAATCCACCATGAAGGGGGCCCTGATAAGTAGGTTTCTCATCCTTATGTGGCCCCCTTATGGAAAGCTGAACAGTTGGTGCTTCGAGGTTCAAGGGTACCTATGAGGAGGGTGACAGGGCACCCCGAAATAGGATCTAGGGTTTCGGGTTTGGGGTTTAGGGTTTAGGATCTGGGGTTTAGGGTTTAGGGTTTAGGGTTTAGGGCTAGAACCATAGTAGTTCACCCACCTCTAACCCTACTATTAAGCACCCATGAAACTGTCTGCGCAGCTGTCTCAGACGAGCCTGCCCTCTTTTCATCGGTTATGAACCTCCAAGTAGAATACTTGGGGCAGCCTCCTTGTCATAGTAACCCCTACAGGGTGGGGCCCCCTAGTTATAAGTAGAGTTATAAGGGCCCTCAATTGGGTTATAAGGACCCTAAGTTAGGTTATAAGTCCCTTAACTACAGTTAGTATAGTAAGGGGGCCCCACCCTGTAGCAGGGACCATAAGCTAGCGAAGTCACCACATGTGCCGGACTCTGGCTGGAGGTTCCTTTACGAACAAAGACCTTCAACCGCAGAAGGGTAGCTGGGAGTTCCTGCTAAGCCCACCAACCCCTACACCATACGCCAACCCTGAAACCCTGATACCCTGAAACCTGAAACCCAAAAATTCCCTAAGCCCTAAACCCTGAAAGCCCTAATGCCCCTGCCTGCGTTGCAAACGTACTCCGGGTCCTTGGAGCCACCGCAGATGGAGAGTATCGCCTGGCCAACGGGAACCTACACAAAGGTTGGAACTAAACCCTAACCCCTAACCCCCAAACCCCAAACCCTAAACCTAAACCCTAAACCCTCTAAACCCTAAACCCTAACCCTAAACCCTAAGCAGAATGTCTCGGTTGACACTGAGGGCTCAGGAAACCCCCTGCTCGGGCGTCGGCGTGGCCCGAATTTAAGAGCCAGCTGCCTCTATGGGCCAATCCTAAAAGCCCAACGCCCCTAAACCCCTGAACGGTAGACCCCTAAGCCCTCAACTCCTAAACCCCCTAAAAACCCCAAACCCTCAACCCTCAACCCTAAACCCTAAAGCCCTAAAGCCCTAAACCCCAAAAGGCCTAAAGCCCCCCCCCCCCCCTCCACGCCCCTCCAGTGTAGTAACTCGCCAGGCCGGCAGGCAACAGCCAAAGGCCATGGGCTCCGGCGATGATCACCACCAGGAAGAGGACCTCTCGAGGTTTAGGGTTTAGGGTTTAAGGCTTAGGAGGTTTTGGGATTCAAAGGGCTTGAGGGGTTGGAAGGTTTGAAGGGTTTAGGGGTGTGAAGGGTTTAGGGGTTGAAGGGTTTGAAGGGTCTTGAAACCTTAAACAGTTTAGGGTTCATTAAGAAATGGAACCGAGGCAGTTCAAGGTGTTTAGAGGCTGGCTGAGGGGTTCAGGGCATGAGGGTTGCCGGGAAGTTCGGGGGCATTCGGGGCATTTTGAGAGAGACCCTGATCCTCTCAAGCCTAAACATACCCCAACCTCAACCCCCCTCCTGCCGCGGCCCCCCAAACCCTAGCCCCAAACCCTACACCCTAAACCCCCAACCCTAAAGCTAAGGTGCTCGCACCGTTGGGTGCTAGGCCCTGTCTCAGCCTTGTTTTAAGGCTTGCCCTAGGTAAACCCCCATCTGCGCCCCTACAGGTACCATCTCCGGGCAACGATTGCGCAACCGGCAACTCAAGAAATCAACGCTACTTGAGGGTTCATAGTTACTTGGAAGTAGGGTTATAAGTAGGGTAACCCTGGTTATGGTATGTGAGGGCACTTCATTGGTTCCGATAGACTCCGGGTTCAGTCTTGCGTGCCAAGGCGTGTGCTAAGGCCCGACGACAGACTCTGAAGTCTCATGACTCAAGCCCTAAACCCTAAACCCTAAACCCGATTTCCTAAATCCTAAACCTGCTGCGGGCCTTGAAGAAAATTCGGAAGACATAGCTCTCGGAGAAGCCCACCACAGCAACCTCGAGGCGGAACTCTACGTGGAGCAGGTTTAGGGTTTAGGGTTTAGGGTTTAGGGTTTAGGGTTTAGGGTTTAAATTCCTGCAATCTCCCTGTCCCCCTTTAAGGGTTCGCAACTTCACCCCCAATTCATGTATGGACCCTCGCAAACAAGTTCCCGCAAAGGGATATTCGAAGGCCTCTAGGGCTCTAAGGACTCTAGAGTCTCTAGAGCGCCTGCCTGTAGAACCTTAGGCTTAGGGGCCTAGGGCTTAGACAAGAACGTACTAATGTAGGGTGTGGTTGGCGTAGGGCTAAGGTTCTTATCCAGGAGGATTTTTTTTAAGGCTCAGGGTTGAAAGTTTAGGGTAAGAGCGACCCACAATTCATTGGAGCCGAAATATATTTGTCACCCATTAGTTATCTAGGCCCTAAACCCTAAAGCCCGAAACCCTCAAATCCTGAGAACCCTCAATCCATATACGCAACTTAAATGGCCTCGATTGGGTTTGAGAGGATCATAATCCGGAATGAGCGCGTTAAGGGCCAACCTGGTTGTGTATCCCCAATACGCCACACTCCCCATACCCGTTTTGATGAAACCCAAAAGGTTTACCTCAACCCCCAAAATATGTAAAATAATAGCCCTTTTAAGGGTCTTGGGCTGTTTTTTTACATACTTTGGGGGTAAACCCTAAACCCTAAACCCTAAACCCTAAACCCTAAACCCTAAACCCTAAACCCTAAACCCTGAACCCCCCCAAAAAAACTGGAATCCCCATGCTCAAGCGCAGGAGCTGCCAGCAGCGTGGACAAGACCGCGTTGAAGGTACAGGGCCTCGGTGGGCTGGGAGGTTTTTGGGGGTTTAGGGTTTAGGGTTTAGGGTTTAGGGTTTAGGGTTTAGGGTTTTGGGTTCAGGGTGGAAATAGGGGTACCCTTTTTCCCATTTTGGGATTTGGCAGCTCCCCGGTGCTTGCGCCGAGTTGCCTTCGAACTGCACGATTCGTAAGGGGAGGGGGTTGAGGTTTCGGGAAGGCCCGCCAGTTTCGGCCGGTAAGACCCGAAACGCGGAGAACCCTAAAACCCGAAGCCCCAAAACCCCCTAAACCCTAGCCCTAAACCCTAAACCCGAAACCCTAAACCCTACGCCCTATACCCTATACACCCAGTGGCCCGATGCGCTCCGCCGCGGCGATGGCGCGCTCGCGGGCGCTGCCCGTGGACTCCTGGGGCGGGGGGGGGGGGGGGCAAAGGGTCCTAAGTACCGACATAGGGACAAGTGTCCCCCATACAGGTACTTAGGACCCTTTTGGGTTATAGGTTTGAGGCTTCTTGGGGAGGGGGCGGGGGTTTGGGGTTCGGGTTTATGAGGGATTTGTGGGATCTTTGGGTTTTGGGATTGTGGGTTTTAGGTATTTAGGGCCAAACCCTATTCCCCTCCGCCCCCTTCACCCCCCTCCCCTTCCCCTTCCTCCCAAACCCCGTAAGGTCCTTGAACATGTGGGCAATGTGCGCTGCGTAGTCCACAGCCAGACCCACACAGATCAACACGTAGATCCTCAGGGGATGTGTTTGTAGATGCATATTAATATGTGTATGTATGTGAATCTATCCATGCGTATATATGTGTCTAAAGAATATCACAAGTCACAAGAACCGGAAATGCCAAACCCTACGAAGCCTCGAAACCCTAATCAACCCAAGCCCTAAACACATCGTAAGTTGGGACCCTGGGCCATGGCAGCAAAGTCGCGTAGAGACGCCGCTAATCGTCACGTCCCAGAAATACCTCAGAAGGCTCTTTGAAAGGACTCCATAGGGCCCTACCAAGATTTGGGTTTAGGGGTTAGGGTTCAGGATTTCGCGCTTAGGGTTTAGGGACCAGGGTCCTGCGAAGCACCGATACAACGGTGGAAGCTCCCCTCTCAAATCCAAGCGTCATAGAGCATCCCACTTAAGTCATTAATTCAGAAAGCCATCACTAATTACGGAAAGAGTAGCTAAAACACGCACATGTATCGGTTTTTGGCTAACTTGACTAGGGAATTGTCGTCTCAATAGAATACAATCTTAGCGTCGTATTCTTCATTACTATAGTTTTCTAACTAGGCATTGTTCCAACTCATGGTTTGGCACGCTTTACAAAGCCTCAACATAACATGTTTCAGGACATTGTCGCGCCTTAACGATCCAACACGACATGAGATGTAATCTCCAAGAACCAAGAAACAAACAACTCAAAAAACAGGAATCCTTAGCAGCATAAATCTTACAAGCTCAAACACTAAACTCTGTAAACAAACCGCAAAGTGTAACAATTCTAACCCCTCTGCCTCTATGTCTACATAAGCTGCGAACCGTGATCCCACGCAAACTCTGAACCGAAAGCAAAAAACAAACCAACCCGCGCAACTCAAACCCTTAAACCCCAAACCTAAGTAAGGTGGGAACGCGAAGTAAAGTCGGAAATATTGAATCTCAAACCCTACATAGATTGTAAACGTTAGCCTGGAGGACCTAGGGCGCAGGCTGCAAGGCGGGCCGGGAGGAGGGGCTGGGGAGAGAGGGCAGATTTTGTTTGCATCCGTGACTTCTTTGAAGTGTTTTTTTAGGTTCTGTAAAGATTTTGTGGCGATTTGAAAAATTTTATTGCTTTAAGCTTTCTCTTGCTTTTATTTGTAAGTACAAGAGAAGATTTAGAGTTCAAGCATAAGAGGGCTTTGCCTTTAAGGCCCAGGCCTTAAAGAGGCAACGGCTGAGGGTTCACCATTTTCGGCTTGGGTCCGAGTTCAGGGTGTAGGTTTCCACACGTCCAAAGGGTGTGAGCGCTGCAAGCTCGTTCCTACTGCGCGTTGGCACATTTGGTATAGCTGAAAAACAAAGGTTTCGCACCAACGTTGATTCGCAGCGTTGCGGACGCAGTGTGCATTGCACATGTAGGTAGCAAACAGCAGCAGACCCTGCGGCAGCCAGTCAGTTCATTTGATCATCTGATCAGCTGCAGTAAGGTTCGGGGCATGTGGGGCCTTTCACCCACAGCCCGCAGCCCACCCCGCTCCCACCCCCACATCCCCCCACCTAACCCACCCAAGCCGCAATCAAAGTCTCACTTCCGCACCCTCGTGATTCTTGCAATTGACCCCAAACCGCACGCCGATAGTTCAAAGCACTTCTGCAGTGTAGTGAGTCTTTGCTTCTAGGCCTTCCCTGATGGTGATACCTGACCACCCGCAAAAACTATCACTTCTGCACTATTCTTTGCTTTCTGGGCCAACCCCATCAGCCGATCGGCTGATTGGCTGTAGTGCAGTTTCACTAACTTCGCGAGCACAACGGCGCAGCGGCGATCGTGTTCCAGACGCTACGATGATGCTGCCATGTCCGAGTCCTTTTCTTGGCCCATGCGCATGGCCAGCAACGGCAGGCCAGCGGCGAGTGCCTCCGAAAAGCCAACCCGTGGGAAACCTACCCCTTAAAAATGACAGAAAGGGATGCTGGGGGCCCTGTTCTCTTCACACAGTGGATTTCGAACGCTTGGGATGTTCTCGTCTCCTTGCAACGAGTGCCCCATTCTTCCAGAATAACGAGCCTTTTGATCCCTATACCATTGTGAATCTAAATCCAAAAATTGCTGAAGCCGAAATTCCGGCCGCCTCTTAACCCCTTTGAACCCCAGAAGTACACTGCTTGGCATCGTCAACCTTCAATCCTAAACTGACGACTGCAAAGGCACATCGGGGCGGGGCAGCTCCAGGCCACCTGCACAGAAGCGATAGCAAGGAAGGCCCATAAACATCTCAGCCCAATCATCAAGCACACTCCGCGTGTTGAAGTTTCTATCCTTACATGCCACATTAGCCAGACATCCTGATATTGAACGCTACAAATCTGAACAAGAAAGCTGCACCACAAAGCCTTGCAAGCCATGAGAATCAAGTAACTCTCCAAGAAAACACCACACGACCCAAGCATCGGCCTAACTTGACCGCCATTCTGGCACGGGTGAACAGCGGCAAGTCCACCTGCATCGGGCAGTCAAGTATACTCTTCCTAGACAGCCCAAAGCCATTTGGCAAGGCCCTTTTCTTCAGGCCACCATATGAAAGAATCCCTCATCTAGAACGCTTAAACGCTCCGAACCTTTTCGAGAAAACTCACGAAAGTTATGTAGAATCATACGTTGACTTTATAGGCCAAACAAAGACGTGAATTCCCGAAACACACACACACACACACACTGTGACGACTAGTTTATGGTTGGAATAATATTCAAAATTTACATGTATATTCCCTATTGGGTTCAAGTAGCCATAAAAATGTAAAATGGTCCACAACTATGACAAAGACTAAATAAGGAAGAAGTTACTAATTAATTTTTAGAAAACGCATTGCATTTGATTAGTGACTTTTGGATGCTTGGGGGTGGCAAAGCCGAAGCCGCATCGTCACGAGCCGTGCAAGGCCTCCGCATTTCTTCGGTCACGTGTGATGAGCCCTACATTTTCTTTGGAGATGCGCAGCGAGCGGGAGCAGGGCCTTGGAAAAGGCAGCCCTCTGTGTCGCCACAGTCTCCGAACATCTCTGCCGAGGTCTCGGGCACTTCGCGGCCGTGGAAGGAATGCAGTGAGTAGAGCAGGGGCTTTGAACGCTCGAGCTGTCAGCGGCTGAAACGTTTAGGCTTGCGCTTCGCTTGCAATCTGAAGCTGTTAGCTTCGCGTTTCGTGCTTCTTCTGAAGTCTGAAGCTTCGTTCTGCATCTGTAGGAGTTTAGGATTAAGGATTTAGGCAAGTTGTATTCCATATGTTCACCACGGACTTCAATGAGATTGAATTATATCTAGAAGAAATCCAAGACCATCAAAATTATGAGATATTCCGAGGTTTTCAATATTTCATGAAATTCCCCTTATTCTTCGGACATTCAATGATTCTGGAATCTTCACAAAATTTTGATCGACTAAAAATTCTGATAATTTTTAATGTCGCAGAATTTGCTGAAATTATTGATGGAAAATGTGAGCTTTTCAATTAAATATAGAATCATTTGGCATCAACGCATATATATATATACACACTATAGAGATCGTCAGAAAATATCGTCGAATTGGAATTCATCGGAAATCCTTGAATATTTTGATTGTGCAACGATTCTGATGATTTCTATACTCGACAATCTCAATGAGTTTCGGAAACCAGATTGTATTCGAAATATATTTTGAAAGGACAATTTGGGAATATATGACCTGAAAAAAATTTTTCATTTACATTTAGAATGAACTGAAGTCAAAACTGTAAAACCTATGAAATATTTCAGATTCTAAATTGGATTCAATGTTAACGCCATAGTTGCACTACTTATAGCCCTTCTTATATGTACCCATGAACCTCCTAGTAGGGCATTTAATGAATGGGTTTGGGGCTTGAAAGGATGTAGGGCTTCAGGGCTTTCAGGCTTGGAAGAGCGTCAAGAAGCGTCTAGGGCAGCTTCTAAATCACTCAACTCCAGCATGCGAGGTAGATGAGGCTTTGTCTACTTTCTGGGCCCTGTTGGATAGTCTTTTATCACTTATGAGAGGATAGGGACACCCCAATGGGCCTCGAATTTCGACCGACTCAATCCCGGCCCAGCGTGACTCGATCCGCTCTCCGGTTCCCACTATCATACTCTTTTTGGGGGGTTTGCGAAAATAGGGGACCCCGAAACTAGACCCCCCCCCAAATAGTAGGATGCCCTTCGGATAAGGACCCCAACAAGGTACCCCTAATTTCGGAAACCGCCATGTCGGTACCCCAACAAATTTTGCCCTTTGGGGCTGCTTGATGGTCCCGGAATTGACGCTTTCCGACAATTTAGGATTTAGGGTTTAAGGTTTAGGGTGTACCTGGACCCCCAAAGTATGTAACAAAAACAGCCCAAGACCCTTAAAAGGGCTATTATTTTACATATTTTGGGGGTTGAGGAAGGGTTGATTTTAGGATTTAGGGTTTAGGGCCTTTAAAGCTCATGCCCCCTCTGTGTCGCTATCTTTCATGCCTTGGAGTGACCGGCTTTTGGGGTTGAGTAAAACCCTTTGGGAACTAGGGTTTAGGGTTTAGGGTTTAGGGTTCCTTCAAGAACAGCTCTGAAAAGCGCAAGCGCACGGAGCCCAGGCGCATGAATCCCAACGTGTCCACGATGGAAAGGGCCACGCACAAGACCACCTCTCTCTTTCTGGGGTTTAGGGCTTATGGGCTTGAGGGTTTGGAGTTTAGGGTTCAGGGTTTAGGGTGTAAGGCTTCGGGCGCAGGGTAGGCAGGCCCTGAAAGCCACATTCGGGCTTAAGGTTCCGTGCTTAGGTTGGAGGGTTTAGGATTCCCTACATACAATAGAATTAAACCCAATAGGGTTTAGGGCTTAGGGTGACATATCCCACGGAGCGGCATCCCAAACATGCGCCCGAAGCCTAAGCCCAAAACCCTAAAACCCTAAAAGCCCTCCTGAAACCCGAAAACCCCTAAAAGCCCTAAAAGCCCTAAACACCCTAAAAGCCCTAAAAGCCTAAAACCCTAAAAAACCCTTAAAAACCCTACAAACCCTAAAAACCCTCAAAAACCCTCAAAAACCCTAAAAAACCTAAAACCCTAAGCCCAAAACCCTAGAACCCAAAAACTTAAAGTTTAAATTGGAAAACCTGAAACCCTGAAACTGTTGGTGGGATGCCATTGGGTAGAATGCCCCTCGCGCTGGGCCTCGACTTCATGATCACTTTAGGGCACAGGCTTTTTAGGGTCTAGGGTTGAGGAATAAGGGTTGTGAGGTTGAGGGTTCAGGGAAGCAAGATCCTCCAAGCTCTGAAGACTTACCCCCCCTCCCCACCCCACCCCCAGGTTCTGCCAAGGCCACCCAGATCGCGATGCGTGGGGACGGCACCAATGCGAAGATGACAACAAGGATGACCTCTCGGGTTTAGGGTTTTGGGTTTAGGGCTTGAGGTTTAGGGCTTCGGGTCTAGGGCAAGGAAAGCAATACGCAACCCTGCACCTTGGAACAGTGGGCTTGGGGCATCTTACGGTTTTTACAAGCATTCATGCACTCGAAGGCTGTGGCTTCGGGCACAGGGTTAAGGTTCTACTTACAAGTTGGACTTAGGGTGGGTTTCGGGTTTCGGGTTTCGGGTTTCGGGGCTTAATGGAAGGTTCCTTTGGCTACTCCTGAGTTGGGTTCTAAGTGCCCTAAATGAGGTTGTAGCCATAGTTGCGCTACTGATAACCCTACTTATGAGTACCCAGATGAACCTCCAAGCTAAACCCAAAACCCCAAACCCTAAACCTCAGGCTTTTGTAGACTCATAAGAGCCCAACTATGATCGGCAGAATGCCTCGCGCACTGTGTCCGAGGGGCGCCGCCGCAGACCATCAAGTTCCGGACGAGCTCCGTGTCGATCACACCCACCTCGGCTCAGCAACCCAACACCTTTCCGCACAAAAGAACCTCAAAGCGCCTAGACCCTAAACCCCAAACCCTAAATTCTCGAACTGCTTAGTCATAGTCCTCAACCCTACAGTGAGCTCTGTACAGCCTCAGCCTCTCAACCCGCCATCTCTCCCTACAAGCATGTGAGGGATTTCCCCCAACATCCCAAAATCCCCTCCCTGGTAGTGTTTCGGGTTTAGGATTTTCGGGCCCCCCCCCTAAGAAATGCACCATGCCAGAATATGCAAGTACGAGAAGAAGGGGCACGAAGATTTGTTCAGCATTACGCCCAGGCACGACACAAATCCTCAAACCCTAACATTGGGCACTCACCTCTTGTATGACACTATGGCGAGGGGGATTAGCTGACAACCCCAAGCCTACACCCCAAAGCCCTAGACGCCAACCCCTAAACCCAAACCCTGGCACCCTGAACCCTACTAAGCCCTCAATCCTGAACCAAACCCTAAACCCTAAACCCGAAACCCTGAACCCTTGAGGCGAAGAAGTAGCCTCCTCCCAATACAAGAAGTCGAAGCTGTACGGGAAGGCGCCCGGTATCAGCTCATCGACCTGCCATGACTCTAAGGGTAGTCACATGGAACCACCTTAGTATGGGCCATTAAGGTTTAGGGTTTAGGGTTTAGGGTTTAGGGTTTAGGGTTTAGGGTTTAGGGTTTAGGGTTTAGGGTTTAAGGTTTAGGAGAAGCCCCTATACACCCCTTGTACACCCTATCAAACCCAAGGGCACAGAATTCAGAACCCTTTCGAGCATGTAGGGGACCACATTAAGGGTTTAGGGCTAGGGTTTAGGGTTTAGGGTTTAGGGTTTAGGGTTTAGGGTTTAGGGTTTAGGGTTTAGGGTTTAGGGTTTAGGGTTTAGGGTTTAGGGTTTAGGGTTTGGAACTTAGGGTTTAGGGTTTACGGGACCGTATTCAGGGACCATGTAGCTATCCTTAGAATGATGAGGCCACGAATACGGGGGCCTGTCTAGCCAGGGTTCAGGGTTGAGTGCCCAAAGAAACCTCAAGCCCTCAAGCCCTCTAAGATGATCCTCCTTTAGGGTTTAGGGTTTAGGGTTTAGGGTTTAGGGTTTAGGGTTTAGGGTTTAGGGTTTAGGGTTTAGGGTTTAGGGTTTAGGGTTTAGGGTCAAGCCCTCTACGATGATCCTCCTTAACCCCTCCGCTAATGAGTTCATGGGAACTACGAAGATCCCCTGGAGAATTCGGTTTAGGGATGTGGGGTGCAAGGGCTCACGCTTGGAGAGTTGTTGGGGCTTGTTTGCGGGTCTCGAGGTTCAATGCCTAGGGTCTACGGATTCTACTAGTTGGGTCTAGGGTTAGAGGGGTTGTTGGATAGTTCATGGTGGCTCTCAGGGTTTAGGGTTTGAGGGCTTTAGGTCCTCAAGCTCGAGCCCTAACCCTAAACCCTAAGCCCTAAACCCTAAACCCTAAACCCTAAGCCCTAAATCCTAAACCCCAAACCACCCCCTCTGCAGTGCACGGGTGGGCTGCGAAAGGTGCGGCCTTCTTCCGCATGGACACCATGGTCGTGTACCGGTTCGTGCCTGGCTCTTACTACGCTCTAAACCCTCTGAACAACACTAGGGTTTAGGGTTTGGGTTTCGGGTTTAGGGCAGGGTTTGGGGTCTGAATAGGATCCTCTTGAATGCAATAATGGGAGACATAATTATGTCGCAAGAACTGTAGGGTTTAGGGTTTACAGGGCGGGCCGACTAAACCCTGGTTTGCTGCTCAGGGCCTCTCAGGTGATGAAACTTCTCAGAGTTTCTTTGGCTTTGGGCTCGGGGTCTCATGTGTTAGGGTTTACCTGTCGATGTTTTCTCAGGCTTTTGTGGGGGGTTTGGGAAGCGCTTCGACTTCTTCTCGGGGCGTGGAGGGTTTTGAGGTTGGAGCTTTTCGAGTTCGCAGCGTGCCTGAGATTCAGGGCTTCCGGCTCTGGAGGGGGGGGACGAAACCCTAGCTAAACTCTAAACCCTACACCCTAAACCCTAAACAAACTACTGGCGATGTCCGAGCCTTGGGGCAACCCTTGCATCTGAAAGGGGACACGCTGCTTCGGCGCCCCGAAAGAAACCCTTTTTGACCCCTCCAAGCCCTAATGAGCCTAAAGACCATGAAAAGCCCCGCTGCCCCTGTAAACCCTCTAAACCATTGCTCCAAACCCTCTAAACCCTCTAAAACCTCCAAACCCTCCGAACCATTTAAGCCCTAAACCCTAAACCCTAAGCCCTAAGCCTCAAACCTCCAAGCCCTAAGCCCTCAACCCTCCACGCCCTCAACCCTCCAAACCCTCCAAACCCTCCGAACCCTCCAAACCCTCCAAACCCTCCAAACCCTGCCTCCAAACCCTCCAAACCCTCCAAGCCAACCCTCCAAGCCCTAAACCCGAAATCCTAAACCCTACACCCTAAACCCTGAAGGCCCTAAACCCCAAGCCCTCCCAACCCTAAAAGCCCTCCCAACCCCAAAAGCCCCTGTTCACCGGATGGCCTTTGTCTGTGGCAGCCAGCGACAGCTCCGCGTTGAATCTTGAGGCCTTGAGCCCCACACTCCTTGCACCACACAAATTAGGGTTTAGGGTTTGGGGTTTGGGGTTAGGGTTTAGGGTTTGGGGTTTAGGGTTTAGGGTTTAGGGTTAAGGGTTTAGGGACAAAGCAGCGAGGTGGTTGAGCTAAAGACTTCACTTTGTGGACCAAATGAACCCTAAGATTGGGGTCGTCAGGGTTTAGGAGGTTTAGGGTTAAAACCCTAAACCCTAAACCCGAAACCCTAAACCCTAAACCCTAAACCCTATTAATAGGGCTGAGGGCTCTTCTTGGGGTTTGGGGCTTAAGATGCCTTTTTAACTGACATGTGGGAGATTCCCTACATTGTGATTCCTTGTGGGGACTCGAATATTATGCGGAGACTTATATATATATATATATGTAGATATACTTTAAAAGGGCCTCCATCTATCTATCTATCTATCTATATATATATATATTTATTATTGTAGAACCCCTCGCCCGTACATTATGGACCCTTTGACCCTCAGACCATCTCGTGTCTCTTATTGCCGGGGTTGGAGTCACCAAAAAACACCCTGCACCTGATATTCAAACAACCCCTACCTCCAAACAAGATACGAAGATGAAACATTCCTCGACCCTAAACCCCAAACCCCAAACTCTAAACCCTCCTACAATATGCTCTAATTAAGGGGGAGTGGAGCGGATTAACCCCTCTACAGACTCAACTCAACAGAAACACACCCCCGAAAACGCTCTGGAAGGGACGCTTTTGCAAACTTCAGCAAGGTTTTGGAATTTGGGGGTTTAGGGCTTAGTGTTTGGGGTTGGGGGCTTTCGGGTTTGGAGTGTGGAGTGTAATGACCCTAAACCCTAAACCCTAAACCCTAAACCCTAAACCCTAAACCCTAAACCCTAAACCCTAAACCCTAAGCACGAGTAGGATGGACTGTTTTAGGCCCGGGGGCACGTCACAGCCAGCTGGGACGACGTCCACGGCGCCATCGACATTGCAGGCCTCGCAATGAAGAGCCGACTCGGTGGTCTTACCTTAAACCCTAAACCACGGTTTAGGGTTTAGGGTTTAGGGTTTAGGGTTTAGGGTTTAGGGTTTAGGGTTTAGGGTTTAGGGTTTAGGGTTTAGGGTTCAAGGGACCCTGAGTCTGATTCCCCACATAAACCTTTGATACATACACCTTATATCCTTCATTTATACAACCATACAGGGTGGGGCCCCCTTACTATACTAACTGTAGTTAAGGGACTTATAACCTAACTTAGGGTCCTTATAACCCAATTTAGGGCCCTTATAACTCTACTTATAACTAGGGGGCCCTACCCTGTAGTTCTTAAAAACCGAAGTAGCCCCACATCACCCTGGTGGCCCTTATAAGGGTCCCTCCTTTAGTCCCTACTTACTGTAGCTAGGAGGCTTGGGCCCCTAAACCCTCCAACCCTAACACAACATGCTGTACCTAAAGCCGGTAAGGAAAAAGTCGCTGAGATCCCACGCCCTTCAGGGTTCAGTGTTTAGGAGACATGGAACTGCCCCCTTTGGCGAGATTGAGAATTCTTTGAGCCCTTTTCCATGTGAGGAATTGCATGCAACAGAAGCCCCCAAGCTCTAAACCCTCTACTGAAACAGAAGTACCGAAAAGATGCCCGTAGCTAGACCAACCCGTCAACTCCGCCTCAGGAATTCCTAAGCCCTCTATCCGGTTCCCGAACAACGGAATGGCAAAAATCGAGTGGAGGGAATTAGGGTTTCAGGTCGAGGGCTTGTAGAGGGCTTCGGATTCTTAAGGTAGGGTGTGCCTGTGACTCCCAAACCCTACAAAACAGTAGGTAAAAAACCCCCAGATATAGGGCATAGCCCCCAAAATTCCCATATGCCAAGAGAGCCTGCTTACCAGGGGTCAAGGGTGACATATAAGGACTATTAGGCCCTATTAGGCTCTATTAGTCTCTATTAGTGCCTAATAGTCTGTTGTTGTTGGGAGGTTGCGAAATTGAAGGCAATGTTGGCCGTTGTTGGGAGGTTGAAAGTCGTTGCGATGGAGCTGCCACTTAGACTCGAAAGCAAAGATGCTTGCACACAACCTCCCTTCCAACCAGAAACCTCAACCCTTGCAAAAACGACATGACTCAAATCCATAAAGCCTCAAAAACTAACAGCTTGACAGCCCTGGCAGCCGTCATGCCATAGAATTAAAAATTCAATGATTATTTTACGCGAAAACTGTTGGTCTGAGGTTGGTTGGTGGTGTGGCTTGGTTGGGGGGTGGGTGGGGTGGGGGTGGAGAGGGGGGGGTTGGGGGGGTTGGGGTGGGGGGGGTCTGGGCGTCAGCCACCCTTGACTCCCTTCCTGCAAAGCCAAGATTTTTATTTGTGTTTAAAGAGAATCTGGTGTTCACAGAATGAGAGTCAAGGGTGCCAGCAAGGCGTTGCGGGACGCTTGCTGGCACCCTTGACTCTGCCTTTGGGAACACGGAATTCTCTTGTGCGAAAAAGGCAACCCCCCCCCCCCAACCCCCCCCCCCCTCCCCCCCCCCCCCCCCCCCCCCCCCCCAAACCCCCCCCCCCAAACCCCCCCCCCCCAAACCCCACCCCCACCCCCCCAAACCCCCCAACCCGCACCCCTCCCCAACCCTGTGCTCAACCCCCCCTCGCAAAGCACGTGCTTTTGTGCTCAAGCCCCCCCCCTAAAGCACGACCCCACTGCCTGAATGTTAGGTTTCTCGGTCGTTTGAGGTTCGTTTCATGCGCCGGAGCCCATTATGCCATTGTGCTTTCTACCTGCCCTGGACACATTCTGGGCTCTAACTTGGCACCATTGGCTCCTCTAGCCTAGGCTCTAATAGCTTATCCGAAAAATGGCAGGTAAATGGAGCCCGGGTCGGGTTTGCCCTTGAACCCTCTGACCTGCGAGGCCCAGATAACGGAGCCGCGGTAGCGAGAGCCGGGTGTACCGCGGTACCTGGGTCCATGAGCGTCACAGTGGCCAGGCACAGTTGCAAGACCCCACTGGGCTTCATTGTGAGCAGCTTTAGGGCTGGCAGTTTAGGGTTTAGGGTTCAGGGTCCAGGGTTAGGGTTTAGGTTGGGTTAAGAACCCTAAGGCCAAATTCGGGGCTTCGGAATTTTGAGGTCTGAATGCGGCTTGCACAGAACCGGAGCGTGGAGGAGGGGATGGGAATATGGTTCCTTAGACAAGCGTATCCTTTGCAAACGTATGGTTGTTATAAATTTAGGGTACAGGGTGTTGGATTGATATAGGGGTTAAGGCCCAGTTTAGGGCGTAGCGCAGCAAAAACAGCTGTACCCTCAATGAACATAGTCCAGTAGCTATCCCGTCCAAACCACACACACACAAACAACCGGGCTCTTAAACAAGAACAAAAGCAACATCCCAAAACCTAGACACTAACCCTGAAACCTAAACCCTAACCCCCGAATCCTGAACTCTAAACCCTAAACCCTAAACCCTAAACCCCAACCCCAACCCTGAAAACCCTTGCACTCACCCTAAACCACAAACCCTGGGTACACAGCTTCGATGTGGCAGGACTGAGGCAGTCATGCAGGGCATGATCCCTTCGGTTTAGGGTTTAGGGTTTAGGGCTTAGGGTTTAGGGTTTAGGGCTTAGGGTGGACCTCGGCACCTGGTGTCCTGCCTTGGACCCCACTCGAGGTTCCCTTTTCGATCCTATACCACAGAACCAAAACAGGATTTAGGGTTTCGGGTTTAGGGTTCAGGGTTTGGGGTTTAGGTTGAGGTTTGAAGCTCAACAAATTGAGGGTCTACAACGGGTAAGTGCCATTCTCCCGGAAGCTTGGCTTTAACAAACTGCTGCCCGGATGCCAAGCGTGGAGAGCGTTATAGAAGTCCTTGGCTCTACTTTTGCTCCAGGGTTCCACAGTTGGGTCTCTTGCTATATAACCATAATATACACTATACATAACAAGGGCCCATACTTCGGATCCCTATAACAAGGGTAAGGGACCATACTAAAGGCCCATGATTCCAACCTTAGATTTCCAAGGGGCTTAGAGGGTTTAGGATCTAGCTCGCTTGGGGGGCATTGCTAGGGCGGACACCTGTTTGTCTTCAATCTTCAATCCAGAGAGCTCCGTTCCCTTGACTCAGAAGTATACCTTTCAAGCGCATTAGAGGGTTCCTATAGAAGTTTGAGTATTCAGACCAACTGGACCCCCAACCCCAAACCCCAAACCCCAAACCCCAAACCCCAAACCCCAGACCCCTAAACCCTAAACCCTAAACCCTAAACCCTAAACCCTAAACCCTAAACCCTAAACCGTTTCCAGCTTCTAAGTGCCCCAACCCAAGGGACAATCGACTTTTAGAGAGCTCGGACCTTTCAAGCCCGGAGTCCCTCCAGCCGATGTACCTGTTTAGGTTTAGGGTTTAGGGTTTAGGGTTTAGGGTTTAGGGTTTAGGGTTTAGGGTTTAGGGTTTAGGGTTTAGGGTTTAGGGTTTAGGGTTTAGCATTTAGGATTCAGGGTTTAGGGTTCAGGGTTTAGGGCTTTAGGGTTCAGGGTTCAGGGTTTAGGTTTAGGAGTCTAGGGTCCAGGGTTTTGGGTTTAGGGCTAACCCTAGAAGCCGCCATACCTAGAGCCCGAAGCCCGGACCCTGAACCCCAAAACTGGAAGCCGAAAGCCTCTCGCGTTGTTGTTTCCAGCTGCCCTAAACCCTAAACCCTAAACCCTAAACCCTAAACCCTAAACCCTAAACCCTAAACCCTAAACAGCTACGGCAGGATCGCGCGAATTGAAGGCCCGAGGGGCCGCCCGGTCGGTGAACGCGGCGTTGGCGGCGGTGCGCGAGGGCGTGAAGGAGGCGCTGGTTGTGACTGCCTCTCGAAGAAATTAACTTAAGGAAGGATTTAGGATGTTTAGGGTTTAACAAGGGGGGATTTAGGATGTTTAGGGTTTAGGGTTTTTCTGAAGGATTTTGGATGTGTAGGGTTAATCCGGGGGAACAGGGGGGGATTTAGGGTTTATGGTTCTAAGAAGGAAGGATTTTGGATGTGTAGGGTTAATCAGGAGGAACAAGGGGGGATTTAGGGTTTATGGTTCCAAGAAGGATTTAGGATGCTCAGGGTTTAGGGGGAACAAGGGGGATTTAGGATGTGTAGGCTTTGTCGGGCACAAGGGAGATGTGGGATGTGTAGGGTTTAGGGGGAACAAGGGGGGTTTGGGATGTTTAGGGTTTAGGGGTCAAGGGTTGATGGGGTTTTACGGGCGGGGGGGGGGGGGGGGGGGGGGAGGGGGTGATATCGGTTTTTTCACGGGTGATAGGGATTTATTCTAGGGCCCATAGGATCTCCCTGCCGGTGCTTTTGGGGGTGGCGCTTTGGCTCAGCTCGACTTTGGGCCTCGTTGAAGCTCTCTCGGTGGAGAACTTGCAGAGAAGCTGGGATCGTATGAGGCGCTCGCCTGGCTCTGGGAGGTCTGCCGGGGGGGCTGTGCTTGGCGAACTCTTGATACGGCAGAATGGGCTCTAAGAGAGCCACGCTCGGCAGCAACCAGGATCTGCCGTCCATCGACGCCTGGTCTGCCGCAGCGACCATGAGTCCGGCTCATGCGAAAGCCCTCTCGTCGTTGCCTCGTTGCAGGTCGTCCCATGTCTGCCACATATTAAGACTGGCGGATGTGGGTGTGGTCCACTGTACGACCTCCTTGCCCTGCTCCTACGGTTTCGGAATTTAAGAAACAGCTTACGGCCATTCAGTGTAGATGCTCTTTATCCTAAAACTCCCCATCAAACAACTACTGTGTGTGTTGATATGCTTATATATTCATACTTATATTATGTATGCTACATGCATATAATGTGCATATTGAAAGTTTTGGTTATTGTTTCTAGTTGTACACATATACAGAACCATTGATGGCACATTGTTATATATACCCGAAAGCTAGGCGAATGACCCTGGCGAGGAGTTTCGCCCATGTCAGTGAGCAGTGAGAAAGGCAATTTTCGGGAACTTATAGTGGGTTTACCCTGAACCCTACACCCTAAGCCCGACAACATACTGTACACCCTAAACCCTTTAGGATTTGGAGTTTTCGAGTGCTTGGACGGCGCTTCATGATGCCACCCGCAAGACGCGGGAACAAAACATTCCGAAGCAACGACCCTTGCTGTAGCAGTCTAATAGGGTTTATAGGATTTAGGGTTTAGGATGTAGGGTGTAGTCATCTTGCCCTGATACCCTAAATTACCTAAAACCTTGCCCTGATACCCCAAACCCTAAAACCTCGTCGCACCTGATTGGGGTCCACAGCCCAGTCCATGAACTCCTCGTACCAGCTGTCCACCGCTACATCCTCTTCAGCTCAGCTCGGGTTTCTGCTTCCGTTCGTTCCGCTTCATCCTTCGCTTTGCTACAGTGGGGTGCAGGGTTCCGGGAGCCGTGATCCCGGTTTTCCCCTGGGCTTGCCGAATGTCGGGGCCTGAAGACACAAAATGGGGTTTAGGGTTTAGGGTTTGGGGTTTAGGGTTTAGGGTTTAGGGTTTGGGTCTGCCCGTTTCCCTGCTTTGCAAGTCCAACTCCGAGTACACTCACGGACAAGACTTGTGACGCAGAGCAAGGCGCCTCTGCGAAACTCGTGGGCTTTGGGGGTTTGTCAGAGTATATCTATGAAGGGGGCTTTGTCAGAGTATATCTATGAAGGGGGCCATAAGGGGATACTTTTTGCAATTATTCCGACCTCTATATTCCTGGGTTGAGAGATCTTCCACCTCGCACATCCCGAAACCCCAAACATCTCCAACATAGGGACCTTAACGATTCGAATCGTTTATTATGGTATGCGGGCCGAAGTCTGTGCGATGAAGGCGAAACAGTGTTTTGTACACTCACAAGAATTCATTCAAGACTCATACTTTAGATGATGTGAAGAATGCGTTGTTTATTCTGGTAGAAGGACAACGGGACCATAAGGGAATACTCTTAGTAATTTTCCGACCCCGAAGCCCTGAACGCTAAACCCTAACACCCTAAACATTCAGCCCTAATCATATGTTTCACTCCATGATAGGAGGCCAAGTCCTGATTGACGAGCTCCGTCGTGTTCCTTGCGTCGCAGGGGTTTGGGGTTTAGGGTTAGGGGGAGTGCGCAGGTACTAGCACAAGCCCATGCAGAAGTGGTATAAAAAGGCATCTACCCCTCCTTTTCTGCTGAGCAAGGTTCTTCAGAGAAGGGCGGGGAAGAGGGCGAGGCGGGCGCGGCTGAGTGCGCCAAGCTTGTGACCGTTGGCAAGGTCTGCAAGGTTTACGAAGTAGGGAATAAAGCCGAAGGACAGCAAGCAGTTGTGATCTCAATTTCTTTGCATGAGCTGGAACAGGAACCCTAAACCCTAAACCCTAAACCCTAAATCCTAAACCATCCTAAGCCCTATCAACCTTCCGGGACAGTTCAGGTCTCAATAGGAAAGACTACGGAGAGAAAGCCATTCGATGCTCTCTTGCTGCTCCGGACAAAAAGCCCCCGAACAGAACCCTTCCGCGGTTTAGGGTTTAGGGTTTACCTGTAGGGCTGCTAGGGCAGAATTTCAGGGCTCGGGGGAAGAATGCGCAACCGCGCTCCTCGGATCAACCGGGGGTGGTAGGGTTGAAATCGGGTTTAGAGTGTAGGGTTTAGGGCTGAGGTTTAGGGTTTAGGGTTGAAGGCAAAAGGCTGCCAAGGCTCAAGTAAGCGTAAAGCTCATGCAGGCCCGACTGAACCTCCGCGTGCACAAAGTGAGATTGAGCAGCTTAAGTTAGGGGCTCGTAAACAAGCATGAAAGGATGTTCTGGGTAGAATCACGTTGCATAGGTTATTCGGGGCTCGTTTTCGCCGGGGAGATGCCAAAGAAGCCTGGAAACATGTGCTGAGACCCCCTCCCCAGCCGACAACCAACACCAAAAGCGCAGAAGCCATAGAAGCAGCCCTTAGCCCTATAAACCCCTCTACACACCCAAAAGCTTTTCAACCCAAACCCAAGCCATGAACCCTAAACGTAAACACCAGTCCCAAAACGCCACAACCACTCTACAGCGCGGAGAACCCTGAGCCCGAAATCCTAGACACTCAAACCCCAGAATCCCAAAACCCCGAAGCCTAAAGCCCCACACCTAAACCCTAAGCCCTAAACCCTAAACCCTACACCCTGACCCTAAACCCTAAAGCCCCAGACCCTAACTCCTGATCCCCCCCAAACCCACGCCAGGGGCTTCCTCCCGAGTCCCCGCCTCGAAGGCATCCGGACTCTCCCTCATGTTGACTGTGATGGGCGTGCCTGTGCTCATGGGATTCTACAGGGGGGTTTGGGGTTTGGGGGTTTAGGTTTTTAGGGTTGTAGGGTTAAGGGGTCTAGGGGTTTAGGGTTCAGGGTTGAGGGGTTTAGAATTTCGGGTTTAGGGTTTAGGCAGCAGATTGACGCCTGTAGGGGTCCATGTTCCGCCCAAGACTCTGCAACCCCAAACCGTAAACCCTAAAACCCCAGACCCTACAGCCCCAAACCTAAGCCTGAACCCCAAACACCCAGAAGCACAAAACCCCAAAAACCCACAGCTTTGGCCCAGGATGATGGTTGGGGGGGGTGGGAGGGGTGGAGGGTGGGGGGGCGGGGGGGGGCGGGTGATGCTGCACATATTTATGTAGGGTTTAGGGTCTGGGGAAGAGGAATTGAATTAGGAGAGGGATGTTTCTCACTAGACATTCTTGGCCTCCTAGAGCTCTTATACGGGTTCTGTTTGTAGCTCCATATCGGTCTTCTAGGATGCCCAGTAGCAACAGACTGTACAGTCTGAGCGTTTTTGAAGAGTCTTCTTACGAGCCCAATAACCACATTATTACAATAAGGGCACCCCCCCTTTTTTGGGAGGGTTGGATACTTGACAAGGAACCCAGGACCCCAAAAAAGGGTCAAGGGCACCTCTGGGCTAGCCATTTGAGACTTCTGCTGGGCGCCGCCTGATACCCCAGTGATCCCCCCGGCCTGTCGCGAAGTACTCGCTGTTGACATTGAAGAACTGATTCCTGGGCGCGCAAGGTGCAGGGGGCTCGTTGCACGTATTTGAAAGAAAGAGAGAGACAGGGAGAGAGAGAGAGAGAGAGAGAGAGGGAAAGAGAGAGCTTAGGATGCAGGGCTCGTGAGGTCCTGAAGGTAGTACTAACATTAATTAGCCTTGAGAGCGGAGCAGGCACCCGCCTTTTCGTGGTCTAACCGGGCGACCAAGCAATCAGAGGGTTCATTATGGGGGATTTTGCGGCCTAGTAGCCCATCCTGGTAACCACGACATTCAGATTCGAGCATCCCACCGACCAAGCAAGCCTTCGAAAAAACAGGCCTTGTAGGGTTTAGGTCTTTCTGTAACTGGAGTCACTCTTTTCGGAACGTGACAGTCCGTCTGATATGTCATGTAGGGTCTAGGGTTTAGGGTCTATAGGGTTTAGGGTGTACGGTTTAGGGTTTAGGGTCCAGGGCTTGGGGCGTAGGGCTTCAACCACCCCTTGCGCTGCATCAAGGTGGCACGTAGGAGGAGTCCGGGATGAACCACTCCAGCTTGAAGTCCTTGTTGGGCAGGAGCCCCTAATGGGGCCAGCAAGGCACAGTCACTCTCAAGCGTGGGAGTTGGGTTTAGGGTTTAGGGTTTAGGGTTTAGGGTTTAGGGTTTAGGGTTTAGGGTTTAGGGTTTAGGGTTTAGGGTTTAGGGTTTAGGGTTTAGGGTTGGTACTCTGCCCTACTGCTAGCAAAGAACGAGAGAGGATACGTGTTCCTATAAGAGAGCAACTGCTTTGACACAAAAGGGACTCTACTGCAATATGGTACGTATGGGGCCTTTAGGGATCTAGTAACTATCTTGGGGCCCACGTTTCCCCATAAACGTACTTGGAGCCTTTATGGGAAGGGCTGAACGGGGAATCGTACCGAACGTGAACTGCTGACAGCAGACTCGTCAGCCGCGAAATGCCAAAACTCCCCCCTCAATACCACTTCACTTTCAGGTAAGGAACATACCTTTTCAGTGCAATTCTAAGAACCCACCCCCGCAACTATGGTATGCTCGAAGGGCGTATGGCTTTATTTCACGAAGCCTTTGGAACTCTGTGAGTTCAAACGCCCTGGAGACCCCTGAAGACCAAGCCCCTAAGCCCCATGAAACCCCGAAACCTGGGAATCCCCTCTAAGCCCTAAACCCTGAGCCCTACCCCCAAGCCCCTGCAACTTGAAATTAAAAAAAAAAAAAAACTACTCGAAAATTCCTCTCGAGGAATTCCCGAAGCTGCTCGACACTTTTCCTGGACTCGAACCCTTAATAATGTCAATCAACTCCCCTAAGCCCCAAACCCTGAAACCTAAACCCTAACCCTAAACCCTAAACCCTAAACCCTGAACCCTGAACCCTAAACCCTCAACCCTAAACTCTTCTCTTCGCTTTCAATCCGAAAGCCGGTCCTTGTAGATCTTCGTGGTGCCAACAATTCCTCCGGCTGTCAGAGCAGCAAACCTGGGAGTAGGAGGCGCTAGGGTTTAGGGCTTAGGGCTTACGGTTTAGGGCTTGGGGCTTAGGGCTTAGGGCTTAGGGTTTTGGGTTTACGGTTTAAGGTGTTGGGGTGTAGGGCTCAGCGTCCTGAGGCAAACTTTGGATTTGGGACTGGGCATATGGGGTTACTTCCATATGTGTCGACCCTACAACAGCAGGGCTTTGGCGTCCTCATCATCGACACTAGATCATAACAAGGCATGTAGTTCATTTAGCTGATTTAGGGTTCAGGGTATAGGGTTCGCCGGTCCTTCGTGCAAAGGTTCTTGACCAAGTCCCCCCGTATGGGGGACCTAAGGTCCCCTGCCACACGCAGCTCGCTTCCGGTCGGCGGTCGTGACCCCGCTATCAGGCATGTCGAAGTACGCCGTTTGCTTCTCCCGATCGAAGTCGCGCCCCACCGGATTCCTGGGCCCGCGGCACCTCTTCTTCCCACCGAAAAGGAAGTCCACATGTTTTTCTTACACATCAACCCAAGCTTCGCAGCAAGGGGGGGTGGGTTAGGGGTGAGGGTTGAGGGCTTGTGGGCTTAGGGCTTTCGGATCCCCGAACACAACACACGTTCTTTTCAAGGGCAACCTGTAATCTTAACCTTTCTTAGGCTTAACTACCCCTAAATAGCCGTAATTCCGGGGGGAACAAGGGGGGGGGGTAGTATAGAGGCTCGTGGGGAAAGCCATGATGCAAGAAATGCCGCAAAGAAAACTCACATACGGGTTTAGGGTTTAGGGTCCATGCCCACTCGCCCACCCTAAACCATAAATCCGTAAACCCGAAACCCGAAACCCTGCTTACAGGGTTCATAGAGTTGAGGCCTTAGAGTCTCCTGGACACGATGACCGTCAAGTTCTCAAAGTTCGGACGCCACGCATAGGATTCAGGGTTTAGGGTTTAGGGTTTAGGGCTAGGGTTTAGAGTTTAAAGGCTAGGGTTTAGGGTTGAGGGTTTAGGGCTTCGTGTGTCTTTCGGTAAGCTGGGAACCCTGCCTTTCACCTTTCCCTCCAAGAAACAGACTTGGTAGCCCAGCAACCATAGTACAATAAGGGCACCCTTGTTTGGGGGGTTGAGGGTTTAGGGTTTAGGGGTTCAGGGTTTAGGGTTTAGGGTTTAGGGTTTAGGGTTTAGGGTTTAGGGTTTAGGGTTTAGGGTTTAGGGTTTAGGGTTTAGGGCTACTTTATAAGGGGACTCAGAACCAAAAAAGAAGTGTCAAGGGCACCACTGGGCTACGAAGAACCTTTGCCTCCAAAGAGCAGAAGGAGTGTGATGGCCTGGCCCATCGGGGTTGTGACCTTCTCCATGAAGCCCTTCAAGCCTAGACTGGGCAGGGTTTGGGGTTTGGGGTTTGGGGTTTAGGGTTTAGGGTTTAGAGCTTAGGAAGTTTATGTAGGGTTTGGGGTTAGGGTTTAGGGTTAAGGTTTAGGGTTAGGGTTCAGGGTTTCGGGGGGGGGGGGGGGGGGGGGTTTGGGGTTTAGGGTGCTTGGGTTTAGGGTTTAGGGTTGGAACTTTGAGGACACCCTAAACTACAAGGAAGCCAACCCGAAAGTATAAGGCACACACACACACACACAGCCGGAGAGAAGCCCGTGAAATAGGGGCCCATCCCTAAACTCCGAACCCTGAACCCTAAACCCTTAACCCTAATCGCTAACCCTAAACCCTAAACCCTAACCCTGAACCCTAAACCCTAAACCCTACATGTGGGTCCCTATGTCCTGACCACGCCTCCCGACAAGACCCTCCCGGCCCTGCCTCTCTTCAGCACACCGCCTTGAAAGGCCTTTGCGCAACGGGTTCAGGGTTCAGGGGTTCAGGGTTTAGGGTGAGGGTCTTTTTGGGGGGATTAGGGTTTAGGGTTCAGGGTTCAGGGTTCAGGGTTTAGGGTTCAAGGTTCAGGGTGAGGGAATTTTCCCAAATTTCCGCTAAAAATGCATGTTGAATCCCTCCCGAGTTGGCACTAGCTGGTGCAGGTTCATCTTTTTCATGTATGAAACCCTAGACCCCAAGCCCTGAGTTTGGCTCCTTCTATCAGCAGCTTTCTGGCTCTTCTAGGGGATTCCGGCTTCACGCCCCGGGCGTCCGATATGGGTTTTCAGACAGTGCAATTGAGCGCTTCAACCGTGGAAAGGCTTTCAAGTTCGCATCTTCGGGCTTAGCTGAAAGATCTATGTGGGGATATAACCCTCAAGCAAAAAACTAGAGCCCTAAACCCTAAACCCTAAACCCTAAACCCTGAACCCTAGACCCTAGACCCTAGACCCTAGACCCTAGACCCTAGACCCTAGACCCTAAACCCTAAACCCTAAACCAAAAGTCGCCTCGGAGCCCCGAAGTTGCTGGGACACCCGCCAAGAACTACTCTTTGCTTAAGAACCCCAAAAGAACTACCTAAACCCTAAACCCTAAACCCTAAACCCTAAATTTCCCTATATTACCCTGAGTAAGGAAGAGTCTTTAGTATTTGTTGGGGGGTTCTTAAGCAATTAGTAGAGAATGCCAGCCTGCAACCTGCGAGGTCTTTCTTGAGCAAAGGCGCCCTCTGCGGCAGGCAGCAGCAGCAACAGCCCTTGCCACCAGCAGGAATCATGGGTTCATGCCCTAAACCCTAAACCCTAAACCCTATACCCGAAACCCTAAACCCTAAACCCTAAACCCTAAACCCTAAACCCTAAACCCTCATGGCTTCATTTGGGCACATGGGACATGATGGGAATCTTTTGGTCCCAGTTTTTAAAGTTCTTGGTTTCTAGGGGTCCAGGCTTCATTTGCTTCATGGCTTCAGGGGCTCAGATGGGCATCTTTTTAATTTTGGTCCATTCTTAAATTTCGGGGTTTTAGGTGTTCAGGTCTGGGTGTGTTGCAGGGTTTAGGGGTCTGGGTGCTCGGCTTTATGAGCTGGGATCCATCTGGGGTGTTTCTGGAGAACTGGCTCTGAGTAGGGAATGAGGGAAGTAGGGCCCTCCCTTAAAGGGTATACATAGGGCCCTATTTCCCTTATTCCCTTCTAAGAACCAGGGGGAGTATCCAGAATTGGAGGCTACGGACTGTAGTTGGGTTTGGAAGCTTTAGGCTCCATTCTGGGCTTTCAATCCTCAACTCACCCCATAGCCCTCTTATCTCACTCGATCTAAGTGCTTGAAGCTTAAGTACACAATGTCCACACTTAGACGCAGTTCATCGGTTTTGGGCCCAGCGACATTGTGTCGACTTGCGTGCGTCCTGGTCGTTGGCTGCGGCTCGCCTTCTGCGGCCGCAGGTCAGGGTCTTATGAATTCCATGAGGCCCGCTCCACAGGCCCCCATAGGCTGCGCAATGCGCCTGTACACGTGGCATCGGAATTTTAAGCAAAATAAGATGGCACAAGCAACGCTTGGCGACGTGCCTGTACACGTGCGCACGCGTGGAGTGCCATGAGAATAAAGGAAGCTCTTGCAGCTTACCTAGACCTCGGAGGATGACTGGCTGGGGGTGACAGTGCTGGGGGTGCACTTGCCCTTCTCCAGCTCGTCATCCTTGCTTTCGACAAAGGCAGAAGCCCAAAGCATGTGAACTCGAACCATGGGGCTCTCTCCACGGTACATCCTCAGCGGAGCCAGCAGGACCTGAATGGAGGCCCACAAGACCAAGCCGGCGATGATGCCGTAGCCGATGCTGAAGGTGAAGGGCATGGTGATCATGGCCACAAAGGCCGGCACGGACTCCTCCAAGTTGTCCCAGTCCACGCCCCGCACAGAGCTGCACATCATGGCGCCCAGCAGGCACAGGATGGGCCCGGAGGCCAGCGGAGGGACCTTAAGCGAGGGAACAAACCGCACCCCTTCAAGGCATCCTTATCTAGACTCCAAATTATAATTAATTATGAATGGGCGTCGAAACCTCCAAATATGCACGCAATGAAGACGCAATTCGATGTTGGTCACATGCAGGCCCCGGCACAGCGGAGACAATCGGGGAGAAGGGAATGGCCAGCAGGAAGCAGGTGCCCGTCACCAGCGAGGCCAAGCCGGTCTTGGCGCCATCTGCCACTCCGGCCGTGGACTCCGCGAAGGTGGCGACGGTGGAGACGCCGAGCACCGAGCCCACCTGCGATATTGGGGGCTTTGCAGTGCAGCGACTACGAGGCTTGGTGCATTGCATGCGGCCGAGCTGCTTAGTAATCCTTATCACAAAGCTGTAGATGTATATATATATATACATATAATGGAAATAGATGCACTCTTATTTTTCATAATTATCCCGCCAGCATGGACAGCGCATCCGCCAGGTAGGCCATGTTCTGACGGGCGAGGGGCAGGTTGCCGTGGCTGTCTGTGAGCCCTGCGACCTTCGCCACGGCGAAGAATGTGCCGGAGGAGTCCAGGAGGTCCGTGTAGCCTTAGGACGTTTAGGGTTTAGGGTTTAGGGTTTAGGGTTTAGGGCTAGCCTTTGGCTGCACGCCGCAGTCAGGACAGGTGGGAAGAAGTTCGGCAACAGCATATGTCTAACAACAAGAAAGAACTTCAGTTCTGATTGAATATATCCATGCAACAGAAGGTGGCCACAGCCGTCCAAAAAGTGGCGCTGGTCTCCGGGTGGAAAGCCTTCTTTGAGCACAAGCGGGTTCACTCCGTACAGTAAACCTTAAACCCACAGATCCAACCTCTCCGAGGAACCTACTACCAACAGAAATGCTTTGGGAGAACCCTCCGCCCAAGACCCTCCTCAGATGAACATGCAGATCAACACGAGCTGCGGGCAAAAGCAACATTTCTAACATACAGGGGTGCCACCAATCGCACCCCAAAAATAAGGTCATCCCTAAACCCCAAACCCCAAACCCTAAACCCTGACCCTAAACCCTAAACCGCCCTAAACCCTAAACCCGAAACCCTAATATGAACCAGGACCACTAAAGCAGCCAGGGCGCCCAGTCAAAGCCTTCCCAAAGGGCACCGGCGAGGCCCTCCAGGGAAGGCTTCGAGACCTTAAAGCTGACGGGTTCTTCGCAGGGAATGAGGCAATGAGGTACTTGTACAGTATATAATCCCTGAAAGGGTATATATAGGACCCTATATACTCCCTGAAAGGGTATATGTTGGACCCTATGTAACCCCTTAAGGGGTATATGGTGTATATAGGGCCCTATAACATTACCTCATTCCATACCAAGAACCAGGGGCGGAATTCTGCCCCCATGTGACCCTGTATAGACCCCAACTAGGGGTCTGGGGTTTAGGGTCTAATAAGGGCTTAGGCCGACTTCTGCCGCGGTGTGATTTTCGAGACCCCAATTGGGGGTTTAGGGTCTCAGGTTTTCTTGCGGGAGAACGATCCGAGGCACAAAAGCGATGCTGCTCTGCGCTTCCCGCGGAGCGTGCGAGCACAGGTCCCGGGAGCATCAGGTCACGCGCGTTTTAATTGCAAATCCTATGCAACGAGGTAAGAAGCGAACCCCACCCATCCTGTATGTGTGTATGTACGCATGTATGCATGCATGCTGTGAGCAAGCCCACTTCCAGGTGAGAGCGCGACCCCCGTGCCTAGGCGAGAGAAGCGGAACTTCTGTTTTAGCTCAGCCTAGTCACTAGTCCTCCTTGCCCTCAAAGCTGGAACCCCCAAGTGTTTTCCCGCACTGCTTTGGGACATTATGCTGACCCTAGCCTGCCAGAGACCTAAGGTTTCTTAGAACCCCTAAGGACCCCATAATTAAGTCCGTGGAAGGATAGGGTTAAGGTTCATGGAGAAAAAAAGGGTGAACTGGCGGGCTTCTGCGATGCAAACAAGCGCTCCGGCAAACCGCTGCTCTGCTCGTGCGAAGTCTTGTAGGATTCGAAGCCCCGGCCCCAGAACCCTAACCCGAAATCTAGGCTGCTCGTTTCTCTGCTGGCCGTGGGGCAATGCCGGTGGGCACGAAGATGTGGAAGTCATCGGCGGATCGGTCGCCTCCGGTCCCGAAGGGGTAGCCGAAGACGGATCCTTCCACGCCGTGCGCCCAGCCCTCGATCCAGCACACCACGGTGCCAAAGATGATGCCGACCAAGGGGGCCCCAGGAACCTTGGCAGCCATGAGGGCGGCTGTGACGATGAGCACCAGGAGGCTCATCCACATCTTCGCCGAGTCGTAGGAGGCTGAGCTCAAGGAGCCCAACTTCACCAGCGTGGCGGGATCTGCGACGGAGATGCCCATGCCCTCGGAACCCTGGAAGGCGATGAAGGTCAGGAAGAGCCCCACGCCAGCTCCGATGATTTCTTTGATGCCTTCGGGGAAGAGCCGGATGAGCAGTGTGCGCATGCCCGTGACGCTGAGCAGGGTGAAGAGGCAGCCCGCCACAAAGACGGCCGCGAAGGCGGCTTGCCATGGGAGGCCGCGGCCTAAGACAATGCTGAAGGTGAAGTAGGCATTGGTACCCATGCCTGGCGCAAGCATGAAGGGGAAGTTGGACAGGAGGCCCATGAACCAACAGCCAAAGAAGGCAGAGAGGGCCGTGGCGCACACGAGCTGCTCCTTCATGTCCGGCACGGCCAGGCTCAGCATGCCGCTGTTGACCGGGAGGATGTAAGCCATGGCCAGGAACGTCGTCAAGCCGGCGCGGATCTCGGTGGTGTAGGTGGAGCCCAGCTTGTGCACGTTGAAGGGGTCCGACAGGTTCAGGTGGCTGAAGTTGCCCTTGAGGCCCAAAATCTCCAGCATGGATGCCTTCCGGGTGCCCCGGGTCTGCTTCTCCGCCGCCTCAACATGAGAGATGCCGCCCATCGCGCCGAGATCCGAAAGGAAGCGGGATGAGGGGATGGTCTACCAATCGAAAGCTGTAGATGTCCAAGGCTAGACCGGGCGCCGAGCAAGTGCGCTAGAGAGGCTGTGAAGATCAGCAACCATCATCGTCTATATTTGTAGAAGCCAGGGCACGGCAACCTATTATATTTATCATCATCATTATTATTATTGTTATTACTATTACTAGTAATTACTAGTATTAGTACAACTACTATTACTATTACGATTACTATGACTATTACAATTACCATTCTTATCATTATAACGATTATTATTATTATTATTATTATATTATTATTATTATTCTATGATTATTATATGATTATTATTGTTATTTTATGATTTTTATCATTATTATCATTATTATCATTATTATCATTATTATCATTATTATCATTATTATCATTATTATCATTATTATCATTATTATTATCATTACTATTTTATTATTATTTTCATTGTTGTTGTTATTATTATTATCATTATTACTGGGGAGGCAGCTTTGGGAATATTGGGACTGCCCGCCTGGGGATTCTCTGGCGACCTCGCTTCCAGGCGGCAGCAGCAGCCTGAGATGCGCGGTGGCTTAGGGCTTTAGGTTTGCCCTAAACCCTAAACCCTAAACCCTAAACCCTAAACCCTGAACCCCTGAGTTTTAGGGTGCCGGGCAGGGGGGTTTATCAGAGGCTTTTAGTCACCAGGAGACTTCCTAGACCTCGCGGACCCGACTAGGCACATGAACCATAGACCTCGCAAGATCCAAAGGTGGGCAAACCCCCCCAAAGGGGACAGAGAATTCAGCAGAGCCGGGTCACAGCAGTCGATGCGGTTGGCTTCGACGCCTTGGCCGTGTTGGGTTTTGGGTTTCGGGTTTAGGGTTCAGGGTTTAGGGTTGATAGGGTTTTGGGGTTTATAGGGTTTAGGGCTAGGGTGTGGTGGTTGGGGATTAGGGCTGCTGCTTCTTGAACTGACCGCCCTAGAAGCCCCAAATTGCTAGAAGCCCCAAAGGCCCTAGAACCCTCAAGCCCGAAAAACCAAACCCCTGAAGCCCTTAACCCCTAACCCCCACACCACTAAACCCTAAACCCCCACCAATCAACCCAAGAAGGCCTTCAGGAGTTCAGGGCTGACAGAGCCCAGCTTACCTCTGAAACCCAGAAAGTTTAAAGGTGTAGGGCTTTGGGGGGATCTGGGGGGTTTGAAGAAGATTTACAGGAGCCCAGGGTTGAGGGAGGCCCAGGTGCTTTCTGCCGATACAGTCGCATGGCCGTGCTGCAGACTGAGAGCCTACTTTAGGGTTCAGGGTTTAGGGTTTAGGGTTTAGGGACCTACTCAGTTCCCTGAGCCTTCTAAAGCAAACTCAATTCTAAGGGTAGTTGCATAGTCCCTGAATATGGGCCCTTGTAACGGGGGACCCTTATATACCCCGTATATACTCTGTACAACCCAAGCGCCCTTCCTTCAGAACCCTCTGAGTCACCACATTAAGGGACCATGTAACTTCCCTTAAACTCAAAACCCAAACCCTAAGCCCAAGCCTTCTTCTTACAGACCCGAAGCCCGGCACGGCAACTTTACACCTAGGTTTAGGGTTTAAAGTACAGGGCTTAGGGTTTGGGGCTTAGGGTTTAGGATCCCTCAACCCCAGAAGATCTTGCTGACCCCACTGTCACTACCCTTTGCAAAAGCCATGCTGAGCTTCGAATTTTGCTTGGGCCCCCGGCGGTAAGCATTTAGGGCCAGGCAGGGCAAGAACACGGTCAGCTGATACGTGTAGCCTGGATTGCTCTGGTTTTTTGGGCTTTTTTTGGGCTTTGTGGTCTAAACTACCTATGTGGAGTACCCAAAGTCAAAATGGATTCTACTGCATCGAACGACGCTATTTGGAACAATCGAAACTGGTGGGCTCATCCGCGTTTGGGGTTTGTAGGGTGTATAAACGCTGCAGCAGCTAGAGACACCCCCCAACGCTCAACCCGAATAACCCGGAAACCTGAACTGGGGTCAGGGTACATGGTTTAGGGGTTTGTAGGGCATTAGGGTTCTGAACCCTTGAGCCCTAAACGTCGCAACGCCCCCAGAACACAATAGACTTGCCCGAGCAACATAGGACGATGGAGACGCCTGAGGGGGGCGCAGCTGGGATTGCTTGAGCAAGAGCAAGCCACACAAAGCCTGTAAAAACTGAACCTAGGACTTTCGGGTGGATCTGGGATGTTGCACTGGTGGTTTCGACCCGTGTTCTTCGACTTTCGCAAGTTTGTTGCTGCCCAGGCTTGTTGACGGAGGATTTGGGGCGGGGGGGGGGGGGGGAGGGTGAAGAGCAACCCAATTTTCGCGAAGCTCCTGTTTCATGGAGCCAACGACAAGCTTACGTACCTTTGCTGCACAGCACAAAAAAACACAGAACACAGGCTTCAAAGCCAGTACCCTTAAAGCAGCAGACTTCAGATCGTCCGGCAACCCTAAACCCGCAGTCTAGGGCCTAAACCCTGAACCTGCCCCCTCGCACACCCCCCCGCCCCATTCACCCGAGCACTCCATGATCTATGCCCAATACGCAGCGCCTTGTGGGTGGTTGGTATAACAGAATGTGCAAAGCAGGCAGCTCTCAAGGGAACCAGAGCTACTTGAGGACCTGGGAAACCGGAAGCCCGAACGCGCAAAGGCCAGCCGAAAGCCCGCAACAAAGTCACAAGGGCCTCTGAAACCTTAAGCCCTCGTAACCCTCTTAACTCTCTAAACCCTACACCCTCTTCATCCTTACCTCTCTTCACTTACAAGCCCGAAGCCTGCAACTAAACCCTAAACCTGAACCCCTAAGCTCGAGGGACTAAAGGCGTGACCCCTATCAAGGACCTCAAGGGGTTATGTAAGGGAATAAGACTCTATACCCCTCCTTCCAACCTTGATAAATAAACCCTAAACCCTAAACCCTAAACCCTAAACCCTAAACCCTAAACCCTAAACCCTGAACCCTGAACCCTGAACCCTGAACCCAATAAAATCATTAAATATCCTCTTGGGTTTTATATAAAAAAAAAACTCCCAAGGGGGATATAGGACTGGGGGTCGCTTCGAGGGTCCCTCCTTGTACCCCTTACATACTAAGTGCACAACAAGCTCGCCCAAGGGCCTGCGTAGGTGCAGAACCTGCAACACTGGCTGCCAAGGGATACGAGGGGGGGGGGGGGGGGGGGCGACTATAAACCCAAAAAACCTAATGCCCTGAACGTTTAGGTTGTAAGGGTTTAAGGGTTTAAGGGTTTAAGGGTTTAAGGGCTGAGGGTTTCGGGTTAAGGGTTTGGGGGCGAAGGGTTTGTAAGGTGTGGGCCAAACGGCAAGTAGCGGTCCACATGGGGGTTGACCCTTATACCGGTTCTTGAGCATGTTGTTTTTGTAGGCGTGGAGAGGTACCTGTAAGTTATAAGAACCCTGAATAGGTTGTCGCCATCTGTACCCTTTTGACCCAGCTCCTAAACCCTGAACCCTAAACTGTACTGAACTTGGAACCCTAGCAAAAACAAAATTTTATGCTGTTTCTTAGCAATTATAGTGCCCAAAAACTAACAATTATTTCCAAGTACCCCTAAGTAAACCCGAAGCCCGAAATGCAACCGAAACCCCATGTCGCCCAAGCAACCAGCCCAGCGCCGGCAGGACTGTTGTGGCACCCACCAGGAAGGCCAAAGCGTCCGTGGCAGATGTGATAAGCACCTCGGTTTGGGGTTAGGGTTTAGGGTTTAGGGTTTAGGGTTTGGGGTTTGGGGTTTGGGGTTTGGGGTTTGGGGTTTGGGGTTTGGGGTTTGGGGTTTGGGGTTTGGGGTTTGGGGTGTAGGGTTTAGGGTTTAGGGGCTGCTTCAGGCCTCCAGCGTTTATGAGGGTTTGGCGCGTCGCTTTACCTTAACATATTCTTCTTTTGCGTAAAGAGAACCTGCAGAAAAGTAGGGTTTGGGTCCTCAACCTCAAGGATCTCTACACCTAAACCGTATACTTGATGCCCCATTTCCCCGAAAACCTACACACCTGGACCAGAATTAACCATCGAAACCCAAAACCCTAATCCCTAAACCCTAAACACTGTTTTCAATCCAGCTAAAGTACTTGCAAGGACCGACAACCTCAACACCCAAAAACCCTGCAAAACCCCCTAAACCCCAAACCCAAAATCCTACAAACCCTACAAACCCTACAAATCCTGCAAAACCTACAAACCCTACAAAACCGACAAACCCTACAAATCCTACTAACCATACAAATCATACAAACCCTACAAATCCTACAAATCCTACAAATGCTGCAAATCCTGCAAATCCTACAAACCCTAAACCCTTTCAAACCCTCAGCCGCGGGCCCCTAACCCTGGGGACCGTGTTGAACCCTAAAATTGGGGTCATTGACCCCATACTACCATAATATGATTCCTCTGAAGGTAATGTGAACCATAAACGCTTTTAGGGCTCAAATGCAGAAATTTAAATCACTCGGACCCAGAATAGGCCCATTTCGCCTTTTTTTCCGGGGGGGGGGGGGGGGGGTTAGTTTCCCTTATAACCACTTTTGCACCAACAAGGGTGGACTTAGCGTATAGGGTTGAGGGTTTAGGGTTTAGGGTTCTTCTGGTCTCAGTCTCCCCGGGTCATGTGCGCTGAGGAGCTGAGATCCCACCTGTGCGCGCAGTGGCGGCGATCCGCTGGGGGATGCTCATGTCCTGCTCAGCTTAAGCTCAGGGGTTTCTTTTTGCTGGGGGTTTTAGGGTTTTAGGGTTCTAGGGCAGCTTAAGTTCAGGGGTTTCTAGGGCTTTTTGGGGAGTTTTAGGGTTTTTAGGGTTCTAGGGCTTTAGGGTTTTTAGGTTTGTTTCTTATTATTTTTTGTTTTGGGGGGGGGAGGGGTTGTGGGGTTTAGCAAGGTTGCTATAACTTGGGCCTTGAAGGTGTTCTTGTTTTTGGAGCACATGAACCCACGTGGATGGTCGATTTCGAGGCGGCCTCGTGGAAAGAGATATTTCATTTCATGTGCTAGCCTGACATAGGGTTTAGGGTTTAGGGCTTAGGGTTCAGGATGTCTGCTCAACTTGCCTCCCTGCGGCTTCAAGGTTCCAGGGCTTAGGGCTCTACAGGGGTTCTACAGGGTGGGGCCCCCTATAAGTAGAGTTATAAGGGCCCTAAATTGGGTTATAAGGACCCTAAGTTAGGTTATAAGTCCCTTAACTACAGTTAGTATAGTAAGGGGGCCCCACCCTGTAAACCCCCTCCCTGGGCTTCCTTGTTCTGCTCGGTGTGCCGGGCGTACTCAGAGCTCAGCACGAAGGCGTCATCCACACCCAAGCCCAGAAGAAGGAAGTACAGGTTGTTGTTCAGGTTGCCTCGGTCAACCCTGCAGGTTTAGGGTTTAGGGTTTAGGGTTTAGGGTTTAGGGTTTAGGGTTTAGGGTGTAGGGTTTAGGGTTTAGGGTTTAGGGTTTAGGGTTTAGGGTGAGCTGGCAGAAAGAATCCTACTTCAAGTCCGTGGGGAACTATAGAGTACGCAGATTACAACGTAAGTACCTGCTTACTAAGTTCTCTCAGCCTTCAGGTATTCTGCAGCCCTAAACCCTAAACTCTAACCTAAAGCACTGAAGCCCTCCCTTTTTGCAGAGAACAAAAACAGGCACAGGGTACATAGGGTTTGCAGGGTTTAAACTAGCGTCTGCCTTAAGAACCTTATAAGAACGCTTAAGGCCTATTCTTCGCGAAGAAGTAGTTGTCATTGCAGAAGCAGCTATACGATACTTAGGCAACAGAACCCCCCCCCCCCCGGCCCAATACCAAAAAGAGAACAGTTGGCCTCTTGGGATCCTCATCAGCTCTTAAGGAAGGACGTACAGGGTGGGGCCCCCTAGTTATAAGTAGAGTTATAAGGGCCCTAAATTAGGTTATAAGGACCCTAAGTTAGGTTATAAGTCCCTTAACTACAGTTAGTATAGTAAGGGGGCCCCACCCTGTAGAGATATTGGGCATCGAGCGGCCGTTCGGCACGCCGAAGTAGCCCATGAGGCCCAGGGTGCTGGCAATGGTCAAGCCGACGATGAGCACCTGGGTCTTGCGATTAGTTTGGCTTCGGAAGCATTTGGAGGGCTCTGGCTGTGCCCGAGAAGACCATCAGAGGGGCGGTGCTCTGAACTCGGTTTGCTAGGACTTGCTTCAGGAACCCTTCGCAATCAAAGTCATCATTCTGATTGTCACTACCTTGCTCCTCAAGGAGGTTCTTGTGCACCCTCACTGCTACCACAACATGGCTGCCCAAAACTGCCTCATGCCATCTACCCGAGACATCGAAATCAGAGAAGAGGCTGCCACAAACGACATGAACACGCCGGAGTGGATCGCGTCGCACTTGCCGATCATGATCTAGAAGAGTGACAGGAAGAGCAATACTAGCTTTAAGAGCAACGCTACTCCCCTGTAGACTGAAGCGTGAAGAGATTGGCATTGAGGCTTGATGTCTTGGGGAAGTACTCTGGGAGAAGCAAAGCTTGCCAGGCGAGTGTGCACTCATACTCCTATGAACAGGCGGCGGATCTGGCGAAATGAATGCAATTCCTGTGGGTCGCATAGGGCTCTATTGGAAAGTTCTGGCATATAGATTCAAATCCAACCAATCTCCCGACAGCAGCTCTCCATCATCCACATGCGAAACGCGGCCAAGCGACTGCGCAGTACACCTTGGTTAAGCTGGGGGCGACGTCACTGAGGTGATGGGTCTGCGGTGGTTTGGGATTCAACAGCTGCAATCCTCTTATTCGTCCCCGGATTATACCAGCCCTATGCTTCAAACCCTACAACCCTTCCATCGCCGGAATATACCAAACCTAAACCTTAAACCCTAAAACCCTTATAGGTGCATGGACCCTTAGGGACTTCAATAGGCCGATATGTTATACTTGGGAAGGGGCCTGGACATCGCCTTGGAGCGGGGAGGGTCCAGACCTGACAAAAGTTCCTTCGACCCTTCTTTGGCACTTCGCACTGGTTTCGGGGTTTAGGGTTTAGGGTTTAGGGTACTAGAGTCGACTCCGAGCTTCCCCCCCTGAAATGAAACCGCCCCGAATCCTAATTGGGGTTGAGGTTTAAATTTCAGGGATTAGGGTTTAGGGTTTAGGGTTTAGGGCCTTGCCCTAAAAGAGGTTGACGGCTACTGCTCAACACCGCCGCCAGGCAGCGATGATCACAGCATAGGAGGAGGTGAGCTTGGCGATGTCTCCCCGGATGGCGTTTCCGAACTCCTTGAGGTTAGCTTGGGGACAGGCCCTAAACCCTAAACCCTAAACCCTAAACCCCTATGGGACCGCTTGCATAAACCCTAAACCCTAAACCCTAAACCCTAGGATCCCGAAAGTGAGCAGTTGGCCGGAGGCAAGTACAACCCTAAACCCAAAGCCCTAAACCCTAAACCCTATCCCGAGAGTGTTTGGCGGCAAGGGAGACTGCCAGTGGGATAACGGGATAACCCAATCTGCCGCACGGCATACGCGCTACTGGCTGCGCGTACAAATAACGCAGTTCTGCTTGCCTTACGTGGAGGTTCATGGGTACCTATACCCCCAATTCTATGTCTTCTTATAACCTACTTAGAGGACTTCGGGGACTTAGGAGGCTTATAAGTGCAGTTATAATTGGGGTTATCAGTGCCCTGAACTTCCACGTAACAGGAAGGTAGGGTTGAGTGCATCGCTTTCAGAGCAAGTAGTTATCATGGTCCATAAGCCCAGCTTTTCTTGGGGTGGTGTCGACCCATGGCGTACGTCCTGACATCGGAAGAGTCTAAGCGCGCAATTATAAAGCATAAACCGAAACCCCAGCTCAAGGTTTAGGGTTTACTTTCATATAAGTTCCTCCTCTAAGTAGGTTTATGAGTAGATCTGTTTCTGTATAATTGGGGTTATAAGTACCCATGAACCACCAAGTAACTAGGGCATTTGGGGGTTTAGTGTTTAGGGTTTCGGCCATCTCCATTGAGGAAGAAGAGGCCGCTGGAGTAAGGAGATCCGTCAACTGAGGTCTAGGGTACCGGGCTTAGGGTCACCCTAAACCCTAAACCCTGAACCATACTGGCTTAGGGCCCTTAAGGGGCTCCATGGCTCTATGCAGGAGATGGCAAAGAGCCCCCTCAAAAAAGGCAACCAGACTAGGCCCTAAGCCCTAAGCCCCCCAAACCCTCTAAACCCCAAACCCTAAACCCTAAACCCCCTGAAGCCCAAACCCCCTAGACCCTAAAATTTAAACCCCCCAAACCCCCAACCCCTGCCCCCCAAGCCCCCTAGACCCTAACATTTAAACCCCAAACCCCAAAACCCCCAAACCCCAAAACCCCCAAACCCCAAACCCCCCAAACCCCCCAACCCCCAAACCGTTTGCAGCCCGGGGGCGTCGCCGAAGGAGCGCTGGAAGAGGCCTTGGAGGCGGTTTGGGGTTTTGGGTTCAGGGGATTTGGGGCTTCAGGTTTGGGGTTAGGGTTTAGGGTTTAGGGTTAGGTTTGAGGCTTAAGGTTTAGGGTATTCAGGGTACGCAGGGAATTTGGGGCATTGAGGGTAGTCTTTAGGGGAATTAATTAGGGTTCAGGGCATTTAGGGCTTTGGACTTATAGGATCTTCTTTCCCAACTTGATAATTGGGACATGCCCAGAAAGTGTAGCGAACATCCCGTACATCATCAGGGTTGGACCTGACCCCCTATATCCCCAAAAGCCCAACGAAAGGAAACCTACCTTCACACGCAGTAGGGTGAAAAATAACCTTTTTGAAGAAGTTTGGGGTGCTCAATTCAATTACAAGGTGTAATGCTGGCCCTCATATGGGTGGTTGTCAAAATCATTGTCCCTTTTTGGATCCCTATTATAATGCGGCACCTAACATCTAGGGTACCCCCAAAAGGGATTATAATTTTGACCACCACCCATATAGGGATTGTGGAGGGACTATTCCTCAAAGCCTGGGCCCTGAATCTAGGGCTTAGGGTGCCAAGGTGCCGTCAGGATCTGCAGGCTGTAAACTTCAGCCCAACTGTCGCCCAAGGCGAGTACTTTGCGGTCCCTAACCTTAAAGTCCCCCCAGTTGCCAACCCTACTCTTCAAGCCGCCCCGAAACCCAAACCATAAACCCAAAACCCAAAACCCTAAACTCCAAGCCCCAAACCCTAAACCCCAAACCCTAAAACCCTAAACCCCCAAACTCCAAGCCCTAAACCCTAAACCCTCAACCCTAAACCCTAAACCCACCTCCTGCACCAAGCAGCCGTTGAACTTGAGAAGGTCATCCTCGGGGCAGTCCAGCTTCGGCTCAGCGCGCGTATCGGCATTCACCCCCATCCTGGCCAAGGACTGACGGTATCCCTAAACCCTAAACCCTAAACCGTAAACCCTAAACCCTAAACCCTAAACCCTAAACCCTAAACCCTAAACCCTACACCACAGATAAGACCCTAAAGGGTTTGGGGTCCCTTTGGGGGGTTCCGATTGTAAGACAAAGCCGCCAGATCTCGTCCAGGGTAGGTCCCTTCTATGTTTTTTTTTTTTTTTGGGGGGGGAGCGGGGGGGATGGTTGGAGCCTTAAGACACTTACCAAGACCTCACAAACCCTGCTTAAAGCTCTGGGCCCTGGCGGCCCTCTAGGTGCCCTGAAACCCGCAGAGTTAAGGGTTGAGGGCTTACAGTTTCGGGCTTAGGCTTGAGAAATAACACCTAAACCCTCAACCCTCAACCCCCCTAAACCCCAAACCCTAGTCCCTAAACCCCTCAAAACCTTAAACCCCTCAAACCCCTCAAGCCCGAGGCGCATGCACAGCGCGCGGCGCTCCCACTCATCGGCCACTGGGTCGTTGACGCCCTGCGAGGGGCAGAAGAGTTCCTGGGCGGAGAACTGGGTTTGAGGGTTTGGAGATAAGGGTTTAGGGTTTATAGGTTTGGGGTTTTTCGGGTTTGGGGTTCAGGGTCTAGGGTTTTAGGTTTGGCAGCGGTTTGGGGTTCTTGCTTTTCAGGAACTCGAAATAGGTATGGCATGATCATGTAAAGGTACAGCATAAGTAGCACATGATTTCCTATCGTAACTATGGCATTAGGAAGGGGATTCAAGTGGAAGTGCCACTGGAACCAGGGTTTCTGGCTTAGCCGAAGCCGTTAATTCACCCTGAACTCGAAACCTTCAACCCTAAACCCTAAAGGGCCTAGGGCGCAGGGTTAGCTGCCGCCCAGTAGACTGGCCCGTGATGGGTCGGTTTTTGCTTGTTCAGAAGGGATTCAAGTCTAGCAGAAACAGCAACTTTCAACACAAACCTAAAACAGCAACTTTTCATACCCTAGCACTTTAATACCCAAACTCCAAACCCAACGATCCCTAAACCCTAAACCGTAAACCCTGCACTACCCTAAACCCTAAACCCTAGCCCTAAACCCTAAACCCGAAACCCACACCCCCCCCCCCCCCCCCTCCAGAGCACGGCCGGGCGGCCGCTTTGTTGAGGGCGAAGAGGCCCGAGAGGTGCTTGCCACCTACATACTGCCGGGTGTTGTCCAAGACCTCACTGCGGATTCTATGGGAGGGGGGGGGGGGGGTATATAATAAAATATAATATCATAAAATAAAATAAAAAAATATAATATAATATAATATAATATAATATAATATAATATAGTATAGTATAGTATAGTACATATATACATATGCACCAACAAAAATATCATAACCTTGAACCATGAACCCTAAACCCTAAAGGGCTATTAAGATAGATAGAGGGGGATACAGATATACATATAAATAAATATGTAAACAAACACACATATATATATATATGTATATAATCATAACCCTAAACCCTAACCCTAACATCAGATTCCTAAAGAACCCTACTGTGACTTGACTCCCCGGGTTCAGGGTTTAGGACCTTAGGAACCCTGAAGAACCTGATAGTTAAAGTTGTACAGGCTGGCACTGTAACGCAAACAATACTCCAATTCTGCAAAATTCAATTGCTTTGCATATCGGGGCGTGCTCTGCTACATTGACAGCTACACTGCTTCGCTGCTTGGTCTGTTCTGCAACGTGCAATGGTGTTGCTTAGAGGAGTGTGCTCTGCTGCGCGTTGTTTTGCTTGCCCATCCCTGCAAGCCCTCACCTGGCTTTTGGAGCCTGATGAGCCTTTTGGGCTTTTGCGGCCCTTACCGGGTGTACTTTCGAGCTTTTTGGCACCTTCTGATTCTGGACACACGCGGTGCAGGCTTTCAAAATTGGAACCCAAAACAACTTGCACAACACCTTCCCTCTCGGGGCTTCCCCCCAAATCTTTGGCCGAAAGCCCGCTCAAGAACACAATCTCCTACTCTGCCAATGTGGAAAAAAGTATATACTTTTCAGGCATAAGTAGCTATAATGGGAACCCAGGTCCAAAAAATAATGCATTAAAGTATTGTACTCCAAAACCCAGCAAGAGAATCTGCAAGTAATGAGGCCCTAAACCCTAAACCCTACACCCTAAACCCTAAACCCTAAGCCGTAAACCCTAAACCCTAAACCCAGATAGTGTAGCCTGGCGGCCAGGCCCCCGACCATCGTCTGGATCTTCGTGGGCTGGAACCTGTGAGGCAGTCTGGGGATTTAGGGTTTAGGGTTTAGGGTTTAGGGTTTAGGGTTTAGGGTGTTCGGGCTTATGGGAGTTCAGAGGTTAGGGTCTAGGTGTTCAAGTGTTCAAGGGTTTGGGCCTTCCTTTCTGACCTTGAGCCGCTATGACCTGCACATAGCGGGCAGAAATCTCTAGAGCCCATGAACCTCTACAAACCCCATAGGCATCACAGACCCTACATAAACCCTCCACAACACAAAAAAAAGCCCTGAACAGCCCTGTAATCTGAACCCTATAGATTCAAGAACCCTTCACCCCCCCCCCGCTCCACCCCAACCCCCTAAGCACATCGTGAAATGCCAAAGCCCAATATGAACCCCAAAGGGAACTCCGGGAATGTAAGGCTTTAGGGCGTTTAGGCGTCAAGAGGTGGAACAGCCCAAGCGGCTCAAACGCGCTTTCTGGCGCCTGGCCCGTCTCGTTGGGATCCTGGGTAGGTTCTAAGGTCTTGGATTTTGGGTTTAGGATTATCAGAGGGGGGTACGATAATCCCTATTAAGGACTGTTAGTATAAAGGCGAACATCCCCAGGTTTAGGGCTTAGGGGCTTAGGGCATCAACATCCGTATTTAAAAAAACACGTGGGTTGCTCCTCTACAAAGGGGGAGGGGGGGGGGGGGGGGCCCCGTTTAGCAGGGTTCCTGTAGTAAGGAATACGGTAAGCCTTCATTTTTTGTTAGCCCCAAGCTTATGCTTCGGAACTCCACACGCCAGGATTGAAGAGGAGGAGCCTTGCATGGCGGGGGTTGTGACAGCATTTAGGGTTTAGGGTTTAGGGTTTAGGGTTTAGGGTTTAGGGTTTAGGGTTTAGAGTTTAGGGTTTAGGGTTTAGGGTTTAGGGTTTAGGGTTTAGGGTTTAGGGTTTAGGGTTTAGGGCAACTTTAACATCAAGTCCCTGCCCTCAGCGTTGTAAACCCGGATCCCTATCATACCCTTACTCCTAAACCCTATAAACCTAAACCCCGAAACCCTCTAAACCCCCTGAACCCTAAACCCCTAAACCCACTGAATCCTAAACACCCAACACCCTAAACCCCAAACCCCCAAGCCCCTAAACCCCTAAACGCCCTAAACCCTAAACCCTAAACGCCCTAAACCCTAACCCCCCACCCCCGCGCCCCCTCCAAGGGTTTAGGGTTTAGGGTTTAGGGTTTAGGGTTAGGGTTTAGGGTTTAGGGTTTAGGGTGTAGGGTGTAGGGTTTAGGGTTTAGGGTTTAGGGTTTAGGGTTTAGGGTTTAGGGTTTAGGGTTTAGGGTTTAGGGTTGCGCGGTGCTTTCCCGAGCTGCGCTGTTGAGCTGGCTGTCGGCTTCGGCCTGCTCGAAGGAGCCCAGGGTCAGGCAGCCCCGATCCTGCTTTTAGTGCTTGTTTATGGTTTAGGGTTTAGGGTTTAGGGTTTAGGGTTTAGTGGTTCTAAGGTTAGGGGAATTTAGGGGTATTTAGGGACCAGGGCGTCCTGCCCTTTTTTTGGGGTGCTTGCTTAGGGGATTTCGGGTTTAGGGTTCTCAGGCTAAAACCCGAACCTTTCTCGGGTTCAGGCTTCAGAGTGCAATCGGACTCATGTGAGGTACGCTGTCCACAGGCCATAGGCTTCAGAGCTCAGTTTCAGAGATTCGGGCTGCGGGTTGAGAGGGCTTTGTTGGCGCCACGCTCTGAAGGTATGCTTTTGGAGAGGTGCAGGATGGTTCTGTTTTGGAGGGCCTGGAGTAGGGCTTTAAGCCTTTAAGCTCGAAAGGCAAAGGGGACCATTTGCTCATAGCAGCTCAACTGTTGCCTCATCCCCTCGGATGATGACCCTAAAACCATCATATTGACAGTCGAACTGGTGAATATTTTGGCGGCTGAAGTAAACCCGAAACCTTATCATCCTCACAGTCCTGAAGCTGTAACCACATGGATGGGGGGGGGAGGGTACTCGCCTTGTGGGCTCCGATTATAAGGGTTGCTGCTTCGGGTTCAAGGGCTTCAGGGTGTAAGGGTTCCTGATCATGAGTCAAGGCATCTTTCTCCCTAAGCCCATGGCCAGGCAGGAGTCTGGTTGGGGTTCTGAAACCCTGAGCCCCAAGCCCTAAGCTCCAGGAGCTAAGCGCTATAAGTCCTATAAGCCCTAAATGCAGCGGATGTCATGATTAAAGGCCTCAGGGCTGTGGGCCAGAGTTCAGGTCGCAGGTTACGTGTTAAGAGAGTGCCTTGTGTGCATGTGCCGAGTTCTAGATTCTACATCTACCATGAACTCCTAGACGACGGTTCCTTGGGGCGCATGAGGGGTTTAGGACCTTGGGGCGCATGAGGGGTTTAGGGTTTAGGGTCCGAGTTGGACTCCTTATGTGTAGGGTCGAGGCTATGTGGCAAATGCGGCCGATGTCCCTGAGTCCTTGCAGGTATCCATGTCGAATGGCGTCGGGCAACTGCAGCATGGCTTTGTTTAGAGTTTAGGTTTGGGCCTAAATTTTAGTTGAGGTCCTGTCTGCTGGCGTGTGGTAGCGTCCTGGACCCCAATTCAACCCTAAGAACATGGGGGCTTACGAAAATAGGGGACCTCTAAAATAGGCCAAATAGTAGGATTCCCTCCTAATAGGGACCACAACTAGGTAAACCAACTTCGGAAACCACATCTATACTGGGGTTTGGGGTCTGGGGTTTCGAGCTACCCCCGGCCTCGTGGCACAGTAGCTCCTTGCTAGGCTGCGGCAGTCGTTCCGCTGCTGGACGGTGTCATACTTCTGGCAGTTGTCTGAGTAGTGCACACGACAGCCCCCCTGAAGACAAAATCGACCACAACTCTCAACAGAGCGCGTGTGCCCAAGGGCAGTACAGTTGATGCAACCAGCCGCGAAGAAGCCCTAAAGCCCTAAACTCAGCCCGAAAAACCGCCTACATCCCTTGGGAAGTGCTGTTCACACAACCAGGCATGAAGAAGACACAGGGGCATCACAATGTTCCAAAACCCTAAACCCTATATCCGAAACCCTAAACAGTAAACCCTAAACTCTAGGCCCTAAACCCTACCCTCAACCCTACACCCTACACCCTGAACCCTGAACCCTGAACCCTGAACCCTAAACCCTAAACCCTAAACCCTGAACCCTGAACCCTGAACCCTAAACCCTAAACCCTAAACCCTAAACCCTAAACCCTAAACCCTCAGCTCGGCTGCTGTTGAAGCATGGGGAGTTGGGCACAGCGATGGTGAGCGGGCAGAAGTTCTCCTGGTCCTGAAGGGGGTACCACAAGCCGCTCCCAAGTACACTGCCTTATAGGTTTAGGGTTTAGGGCTTAGGGTTTAGGGTTTAGGGTTGAGGGTTTGGGGTTTAGGTTTAGGGTTTAGGATTTAGGGTTTAGGGCTTAGCGCTCAGGCACCTCCCACTCATTGATGGCCATCTTCGCCCCCTCGGCCGTGAGTGTCTTCAGGATGTAGTCATCATCCTTGAACCTTGTAACACAAGGGCCCCGGCTTCTTTGGGGCATAAGGGTTTAGGGTTTAGGGTTTAACACATGAAGGGGTCTTGATCAACTCTGCTTTTTTCCGCCTCAGCCCTGTAGAAACCGCCACCTGCATAGGTCAGGAAGCCACGCAGGTAGAGTCTAAGTCGGCCTAACCCAACTTAGGATGTTTAGGGTTTAGGGGTTTAGGGCTTAGGGTTTAGCAGTGTAGGGTTTAGGGTTTAGGGTTTAGGATACCCATAAGCCTACGAAGAACCTCATCACGAACTTGCCCTGAGCCTTGAAGTTGCAAAAAGCCCACACGGTGAATTCTCTAAATTAGGATCCCTTCTTGGGTGCCCTAGATAAGAGGGCCCGCCTTATTATACAGACCCCAAAAGGGCCCATAATTTAGGGAAATCACCACATCGACACCCTAGACCCTAAACCCTAGACCCTAAACCCTAAACCCTAAACCCTAAACCCTACATCGACATCAAAAAGACGTCGGGAGGCACGTCCAAGATCGACTGCTTGCCGCAGAAAGGGCCGAAGGAGAAGCACTTGCGACCATTGAAAACCACAGAGCCATTCACCTCACGTGAGTTCGAGTTTAGGATTTGGGGTTTGGGGTTTGGGGTTTAGGGTTTAGGGTTTAGGGCTTAGGGTTTCGGGTTTGGGGTTTGGGGTTTGGGGTTTAGAGTTTAGAGTTTAAGGTTCAGGGTTTAAGGTTCAGGTTTTAGGGTTCAGGGCAGAGGGCACTTGCACGAAGGCTAGTGGTATTGGCTCGGTTGCTTCAGGTCAAGAGCCACGGACAGTGCATTTGTCTCGTGACTTTCCCTGTGCTGTTTCCACGTCTAGTGCTTAGGGTTTAGGGTTTGGTGCTTGGGGTAAAGGGAACACAAGAGCCTAGACATGCACCAAGAGCCTTTAGAACCCAGGCCCGTCTACAAAACACGCCCCCCCCCCCCCCCCCCCACCCCACCCCTCAAAAAACACGAACATGGCAGAACGCAAACCCTAATCCTTCATTAAACCCAAACGAGAACTCATCCAGCACCCCGAACCCTAAACCCGAAGCCCAAAAAACAAAAATCAAAATGACATCGCCCGCTTCGGCGTCTACAGATCGGGAGCCCCCCACCGACCGAGGCTGAGGCTCTAGGGGCGGGGGGGGGGGGGGCTTAAGATGTTCCCCCCTATACTAGCAGTCCTCAATAGGCACTATTATAGTACTTAATATGTTATAAGTATAAAATACATTATGAGTATAAAATACATTATAAGTAGTAAATACATTTTAAGTATAAAATACATTATAAGTATAAGGAGAAAACCCCAAGGCACAGAGTTTAGGGTTTTGGGTCTCACGCGCCACTTGGGCTCAGAAGTTCGCTGTACATTCTCATGCCAGGGGGCGCTCGATGGGCTGCCCATGAAACCTCTGGATGTGGGTTTAGGGCTTATAGGGTTTAGGGTTTAGGGTTTAAGGCTTAGGGCTTATAGGGTTTAGGGTTTATAGGGTTTAGCGTTTAGGGTTCAGGGTTTAGGGTTTAGGTTTAGGATTAGGGCTTAGGGCTTAAAACCCATACCCCTCAACCTTCATGAAATGAAATGGGGTTCACAACATTGAAATTATTTAAGTAAGGCGTATGTAGACATATTCCCCAGAGCCCCGTACGCTAAACTCTGAGCCGGCAGTGTGTGAGGTCGGTTCCTTAGGGATGTTTCGGGCTCTAGCTCTTCAAACCCTAAACCCTAAACCCTAAACCCTAAACCCTAAACCCTAATTTTTTTAACCCTAAACCCCAACTCAGGGCTCTTCATGTGGCACAAGTGGAGCTTCTTCGTCTAGAGTGCCGCCACGTTTGGAAGAATCTCCGGGAAGAGGGAAGGGGCTCCATATACCCTTCAAATCCATGGTCCCTTAGTATGGGCCATTAAAACGGGTACCCCTTATGTACCCCCTTATACACCCTCTACACGTTAAGGGCCCATACATCAGAACCCCAAGGAGGTTAGGGACCATACTAAAGGCCCATGCAACTAAAGCTTCCCTAAGCTACTTTTTGCTTGAGAACTCCAAAAGGGGAAAAAACAAATAATCCCTATACTACCCTTTTTTGGAAGCATATTTCTTATTTTGTTTTCTGGGAGGGGAGTTCTTAAGCAACTACTAGTAAGGCTCTTGAGGTGCCCTAAGACCTACACTTGGGATGGTCCCCCTTATCCGAACCGTCCTTAATAAAGACTCGAGAACCCCGAAGGACAGGTCGTAGAAGGTGGAACATCCCAACACCAAACCATATCAACAACTAAACAACCCTTGAATCCCCATCCCTCAAAGACCCTCTAATGGCTACCTTGGGCCCACCAGTCTGCAGTGATAGCGCTGCCTGGCGACCGTAAACCCTGTCTTGTTAATGATGTTGCTCTTCGTTGAGCCCCTTCAAAAAAACAGCAACCCTACACCCCCCCCCCCCCACCCCGCTCAACAAAAAAAACAAAAGAGTAGAATAAGCATAGTATACACACATACATATATGTATACATAGCAACGATATATATAATATATATTTGTTGTTTTCAGCAAAACCTTCATGGAGCGCCTTCAAATGATAACAACCCTGCACACTCCCTCGGAAGCGCCCAAAGGCTTTCGGCTCCATTGGCCACCAAGAAGCTCCACTGCCCCTGGTATTGCAGCCACGGCCGAACGTCACCCTCGCCGCGCTTGTGCTTCTGGCAGGGGGCGAAGCAGATCTGCTGAAAGCAGCTCCTAGACCCTGAGCCCGAAACTAAGCCCCAAACCCTAAACCCCATAAGCCCCAAGGACCCTAAGCCCACAGCGTCTCTGTTCGTGTTCGCGTGTAGCTCATGGTTTAGGCTTCTAGTACGCTCTTATGATGTAGCACACGCACCCACACCCACACCCACACCCACACCCACACCCACACCCACACCCACACCCACACCCACACCCACACACACACACACTGATGCATTGGTGACTGTGTGGAGTACAACCTTTTCACCTGCGCCTGTCATGATGATGAAATGAGATTTTTGTACCGTGTGTGCCAGACCACAGGAATGGCACACAAACACAAGATGAGATGATCCGCGCGGGGTATGCTTTCGGCCCCTTGCTACGCCAGACACGAAGGAATAACGTAGCACGAAATGAGATGAAGATGAAAGTGAAATGATGCCTCACCAGCTGGCCACCTCGGACCCCAGGTGCGGGCGAACAGGTACGTTTCACGACTACATTGCTTGGGTCTTCGCTGGCGGAGATTTGGCGGCGAAGCCTTTCCAGGATGCAATACCTGTTTCCACACGCACACACACTGCCCTCGAACGGGCTAGCTCGCAACAGTTCGCTCATGGCAGAAAGACTGAGGCTGACACAAGTAGACAACAGTGCACATGCCCTGGCGCTTGCAATGCCTAAAACCTGTTTGACCTCATGGAAAACGAGAAAAAATTTAAAGTGAGCCACCACTTGGTTGTCAGTGGATATGGGTCCAGCCCACAAAGTGGTGGATAAGGGTCCGGCCCACCGTTTGGAAAACAAAACTGTGGCAGTTAGTTTGAGGCGAGAGGGGGAAGGGGATGTGCGCCTGCCCACGCCCCCGGCAACCTGACAAAACACGACCTCAGGCGGGAACATACATCAGCTCGACACCCGTCTCTCGGAGACATCAAATCAAAACCAAGAGAGACTGAATCGGGAGGAAAACCCTTGGCTTGCACGGACCGTCACATCCTAAAGACTTCATCTTACCTCCAACCGGAGGCTCGGCTACCTGCCGTTGGCGGGCGCCCAGGAGGGAAAGCCCAACCGAAGTCACACACTGATGCATTGGTGACTGTGTGAAGTACAACCTTTTCACCTGCGCCTGTCATGCTGATAAATTAGATTTTTGTACCGTGTGTGCCAGACCACAGGAATGGCACACAAACACAAGATGAGATGATCCGTGCAGGGTATGCTTTCGGCCCCTTGCTACGCCAGACACTAAGGAATAACGCAGCACGAAAAGAGATGAAGATGAAACTGAAATGATGCCTCACCAGCTGGCCACCCCGGACCCCAGGTGCGGGCGAACAGGTACGTTTCACGACTGCATTGCTTGGGTCTTCGCTGGCTGATGCCAAGCAATGAGTCCATCCGCCCCCTGCTCGACATGTAGATTTTTCGGTGAAGCCTTTCCAGGATGCAAATACCTGTTTCCACACACACACACACACCCACGCGCAAGCGCGTGCGCGCGCGCGCACGGCGTTCCCTTGCATCGGCAGCACCACGGCGAGCGCATGCATAGTCTCTCTCTCTCTCTCTATATATATGTATATATAGATGTATCAATATGCGCGCACAGACGTGGGCCTCGGGTTCACTATAAACCCCATGGAAAAACCAGCACAAACTTACAAAAACCTGCAAAATGACTCTTGGCACAAACCCTGCGAGGGAAGCAATAACGAGACAAACAAAACTGTCAAACATCCTACAACAAGACAGTCATCAAACACTCAAAAGGTAACAATAAGACTATTAAATACAAAAACCAACTACAGTAAACATTCAAGGCCCAAAATGCCCCAAACATCAGGATACCCCAACACAAGAAGAACACGTGAAAACATGAAAGACCACTCACCCCCCGCCCCAACAACAAAAAGAAGTTAGATATCCCTAAAAACATGAAGAACTACAAACCTTGAACCGGTGGGGTCAGTTCTCGAAGACATGGGGGGAGAGGCCTGGAATCTCAAACAGACTCACCTTTCGGGCGCCAAGGGCTTTAAGAGTTCTGAGGGCTTTAAGGGTTACGAGGCCTTTAAGGGCTCTAAGGGCTGTAAGGGATATAATTAAGGGCTTGAAGGGTTCTAAGGGCTTTGCAGGTTAGAAGGGTTTTAAGGGCTTTAAGGTGTGCTCTAAGGGTTAAAAAGGTTACAAGGGTCAAGGGTCTAGGGCTACAAGGGCTTTTGGTGATAAGGGCTTCAAGTTTTTGGGGGGTTGTAAGGGATAAGGGTCTTGGGTTAGAAGGGTTAAGGGTTTAGCGGGGAAAGCCTGTGTCAAACCCAGCTGAACGGACACACCTGGTCCAGATCTGCGACTATCTCATCACCGTCGATGCTGATGTTCATGATCCTCCTGACATGCAGGGTAGAGATCCCAAATCGAACCTACTTGCCGCATCTGAAAGGGGGTTCCCTTATTCAGGTACTTATAACTTGTAACCCTTATAAGTATCCATGAACCTTAAAGTAGATGTCACTGCGACACAAGGAAGCATCTAAAGCAGGATCCTTAACTAACGACACCGCCTCGCTCTTTATCGGGACGATATATTCGGATGCCTGTGATGCCCCATTGTAGCTCTGCAAGAGTTTAGGGTTTAGGGTTTAGGGTTTAGGGTTTGGGGTTTAGGGTTTAGGATTCAGGGTTTAGGGTTTGGGGTTTAGGGTTTAGAGTTTAGGATACGAAGGACCTGCAGGCTAAGCGCGACTTGGTCGCAGAAGCACGTGGGTCCGTGGAACACCTAAGCCGCTGAGGGCTCGGCTCGTTGATCTCGTGGAACCGCTTGAGGTACTTTGGATCAAAGATGTTGCCTTTCTTGAAGGGTCTAGGGTTTAGGGTTTAGGGTTTAGGGTTTAGGGTTTAGGGTTTAGGGTTTAGGGTTTAGGGTTTAATTAGGGTTTAGGGTTTAGGTTCATTCGGGTACTTCTAAGTAGGCAAGTACCCTACATAAGGTTAAAACCATAGGTACCCAACTTATGACCCTCTTTATGAGTACCCATGAACCTTCAAGTACCCGTCGCAGGTTTTGGGGAGGTAGCGGTTCCTCGCTAGATATTTGTCCATGGCAACTACCCCGCGAATACCCAACAGACGGCTACACCCTAAACCCGAAACCCTAAACCCTGAACCTAAACCCCGGAACCCTAGACCCCAACCCCCTAAACCCTAAACCCTAACCCGATAGGCCCTTTTGGTGCGTAGGGTTCCTCAAGACGCCAAAGGCTTCGTTTCGGTCATGTTTGTAGGAGGATCCCCAAAACCTCCCGCCCCCCCCTCCCCCGCTTCGGGTTTAGGGGTTAGGGTTTAGGTTTAGGCCCCCCCCCTCTCCCTATAGAGACCTAAAGTGCCTTTGTGTGGAGTACCTCAGAAAAGATAAAGGGTAAGTACCCTCTTGGCTAAAAGGGGGCCCTGACCCCTAATCAAAAGGGACCCAAGCCCTAAACCGCCACGACTCTGAACCCTAAAACCCTAACACCCTGCAAAACCCAGAAACCCTAACAAGCCAAGATCCATACAAACACCACACAACAAACAACATCCGGCCGTGCGACAGTCGGCTTCGTCCACGTCATTGCCTTGGTAGCCCAGAAACCATACCACAAGAAAGCGCAATCCTTTTGAGGGATGCTTCCTGCTATGTGGGAATCTAGAACGCAGACCTTAAACCCTACACCCTAAACTCTATAATCCCTAAACCCCTCACCCTGAACCCTAAACCCTAAACTCTATCATCCCTAAACCCCTCACCCTAAACCCTAAACCCTAGGCCCTAGACTGGGCGCAACAAAGGGCTACTCGAACACGGGGCTGCCCAGCTGCAGGTGGCGGTGAAGAGATTGAACCGTGAGTTGCCAGGAAAGGTCCGTTGCACCTGAGCTGCGCTTTGTAGGGAATTCTACATGGAGGGTTCTTGGTTCAGGGTTTAGGGCGTAGGGTTTAGGGTCTAGGGATTCGCAGCAGGGTTTATAAGGTTTTAGGGTTTAGGGGGGCTTTGTAAGGAATTGAGGGACTAACGTTTTGTGGAGAAAAGTCCTAAGGGGGGTTTTGGGTTCAGGGCGGTTTAAGGTTTGGGCTCACATCCTGGACCCCTACAATACTGCATCCCCGAAAACCCTAGACATTAAACCCTAAACCCTAAACCCTAAACCCTAAACCCGAGACATTATATACGGTTGAGGGTCTAGGATTCCAGGCGGCTTAGGTTTTGAGCTCATCGCGCTTCATGGGACTTAGAGGGGTTCATATTTCTTGTACCCCCAAACGGACACCCAATATATACACTCACCAATGTTACAAAGGAACCTTATATACACTCACCAAGAACAGACATGTGAACCCTGGTTCATAGGGCTTAGAGGGGTCCTAAAACCCTAAACCCTAAACCCTAAACCCTAAACCCCAAAACCCTATTTGGGATCTTCGCCCGGACACATAGTCGTTGTGGTCCAAGGCCAGTGAGCCCGCTGGCACCCACCTGGGCTCGCTGGGTATCTCCGGGGCTACTCTTAACACCAAAGCCCCTGCCCTTAAAACCCTAGACCCCTAAGCCCCTCAAACCCCTCAAACCCCTTAAACCCCTTAAACCCCCTAAACCCCTTAGACCCTAAACCCTAAACCCTAAACCCTAGACCCTAAACCCTAAACCCTATACCCTAAACCCTCAACCCCTAGCCTTGAACAGGGGCACCCTGGGACCCTGAGCTTCCAAGTCTCTAACTAGACCTTTTTAGGTGTCCCAGGTTGGCGTCTCCGTAGAGGGGTAGTTCTCTGAACCAGGGTCCCTTTTAAAAATTGTTTGGGGTGCAGTGTTTCAGAAGCTTAGGGTTTCAGAACCCCTGTTGGTTGCTTAAGAAACTGATCAAAGGGGTCAAAAAAACATGAGATTCACAGCCCAGAGAGGAAGGTTACTACTACTACGACGACGACCACCAGCACCAGCACCAGCACCAGCACCAGCACCAGCACCAGCACCAGCACCAGCACCAGCACCAGCACCAGCACCAGCACCAGCACCAGCACCAGCACCAGCACCAGCACCACTACCACCACCACTACCACCACCACCACCACCACGACGACGACTACTACTACTACTACTACTACTACTACTACTACTACTACTACTACTACTACTACTACTACTACTACTACTACTACTACTAGTTATGCAACTATATGTATACTACATATATATATATACAACCAAATACATATATATATATATATATATATATATATTATGCATGTAGATTATGATTGTTGTTGGGACCGGGGTTCCTGGAGGTGGACGTGGATCGGAAAGCTCGGCGAGAGGCTGCTTCTCTGGGCGCGTCTCGTTCGTCAGGAAGGTGAATCCTTCATTCTCCGAGCGCCCCCGGAGTGAACCACAAAAGTAGGATCCTTTAGGTTTTAGGGTTTAGGGTTTAGGGTATCAGGATGCTACGGAAAGCATGCGAGGCACCATGCGCCTTTGGTCGTTTCTGCATCGGAAGCTCTGAGGGTTTAGGGTTTAGGGTTTAGGCTTTAGGGTTTAGGGTTTAAACCTGTTCCAATCTGGGTAGTTCTCTGAATTACGGTCAGGACCCTAATCTTGGAAGTTGCGCAGCCCACACGTGAAGGTTCATGGGTGCTTATCACTAGGGTCATAAGCAAAGTAACTATTGTTATACCCATCATTAGGGTAACAATGGCTATAACCTTCTTTAAGGCACTTATAACCCTGCTCATGAGAACAGTGCCAGTGAACCTCCAAGTGCGGACGTACAACCTGAGCCAAACACGCGTAGCTAAGCACTAATACTCTAAATCCCTACATCCCTAAACCCTATAAACCCTATAAACCCTACAAACCCTACAAACCCTACAAACCCTACAAACCCTACAAACCCTATAAACCCTATAAACCCTATAAACCCTATAAACCCTATAAACCCAATACCCAAAACCGCAAATTGAGCACTTACATTGCCGTCCTCCGCCACAAGCGACGACGAAGAGCACGCTGCCAACCAAGCTCTTAACCTCAGGCACTGAAGGGTCTGGGGGGGGGGGGGGGGGGGGGGGGGGGGGGGGGCATTTGGCGGGTTTAGGGTGTAGGGTTTAGGGTGTAGGGTTTGGGGTTTAGGGTTTGGGGTTGGGGCTGGGTTTTAGGATTTTTGGGGTTCGGGGTTGTTAAGGGGTCTTTGGGTTGAGTCGGCTCATGGGCTTCAGGGCTCGGTATTTCAGGGTTTTGGCGTTTTGATGTTCTCGGGGTTTAGGGCTTTCGGCATTCGGGAAGAGTTGTTGTTCCAGGGTTTAGGGCGATGATGTGTCCATGTTAAGGATGTCACTGTGGCATCTCGTTCATACTAGGTCCTCCACCCTAAACCCCTAATTAGCTCTGAACCCAGACACCCTCAATCCCGAACACCAGCAACCCAAACGGCTAAACCCCAAAACCCTCAACCCTGTCAACCCGAACTCCGTCAAACCTAACAAGAAAGCCCTAAATCCTAAACCCTAAACCCTAAGCCCAAACCCTAACCCCGAACCCCCATTGCCTATAACCCCCTAAACCCTAGACCCTTCAAGGGAACCGCCAGTGCCAGGGGGCCGGGTGAGTGCCAACGGCGCGCCCGACTTTCTCGAAGAAGTTCTCTAAGACCCGCTCAATAACGGTCCTTGGCAGTAGGGTTGTAGGGCTCTTCGGGTTTTTGTGGGGGGTGTTGGGGTTCTAGTGCTTTAGGGTTTTGGGTGTTTGGGTGTTTGGGTTTTTGGGTGTGAGGAATTTAGGGTTGTGGGGGCTTTAGGGTTTTTAGGGGGTGTAGGGCTTTGGGGTTTTCGGGGTCTAGGGTTTAGGGTGGCTGAACTTCTGGACCTCAAGTAACCTTGTACCTCTTCGAGGACCTGAGCTCACTGCGTAAAGGTTGAGAGAATCTAGGTCTACCAACCCGGACTCCGAAACCGGTTTAGGGTTGAGGGTTTAGGGTTTAGGGTTTAGGGCCGTAAGCCCTACTTGGAGGGTTCATCGGTGCTTGTAACCCCCAAATCATAAGTCTACTTTCATCACCTGCTTAGAGGACTTAAACACGCAAAAACTTATAAGCGCAGTGAAAAATGGGGTTATATGTACCCTGGAGCTCCAAGTAACCCTATACTCACTAGAGTCGGAACCCTAAACCCTAAACCCTAAACCCTAAACCCTAAACCCTAAACCCTAAACCCTAAACCCTAAACCCTGAACCCTAAACCCTCCGGGTGCTGCCCTCCCCTGAAGATGCTCGGAAGCCCGTCACTTGAAGGATGAGCCTCAACCCCACCCCGCCTGCAAGAATCTCTTATCGTCAGCGCTCGTACACCCTCAAGC